TAGGAACGTGGGAGAAGTGAGAGAGGCAGCTTCCCTTTGCCTCTTAAACTTCAAACACAGAGACATTTTCTGGCATCTTCTGTTCACATCGATTTTGAACTAAAACAAAAATAAGTATCAGTTTATGTTTTATATATCCATAAAACGGTATTTTTAAAAAAAAAAATTTAGTTATTTGAAAGGCAGAGTTACAGCAAGAGAGAGAGCAACTTTCCATCCACTCGTTCCATCCCCAAGAGGCTGCAGTGGCCAGGCTGGGCCAGACTGAGGCCAGGAGCCTGCAGCTCCATCGGATAGCCTGTGTGGGTGGCCAGAGTCTAAGTACACAGGCTGTTACACTGCGCTCCCAGGCACAGTAGCAGGGAGGCCGAATCGGAAGTGGAGCAGCCAGGACTTGAACCCGTGTTCATATGAGATGCCTGCATTGCAGGCACAGGTGGCCACTTACCAGCGCCTGGGTTCTTTCTCTTGCCAATGAGTAGGTGGCACCCAGGCTGAGGAAGCAGTTTACAAACCCAGTCAGTTTCCAAGGGAGAGAGCAAGACAGCAGCCTTGTTAGAGACACCACGCAGGGCCTGCCACATTCCCTCACCCCACCCACAAAGTGACACTGCCAGGGCAACCCCAGAAGGCACACCTTGGCACAGCATTTAAGACCAGAAGGGAATGGAATGTTTGGGATAACTCAGAGCAGTGCCAGGGGCAGGGCGAGGGCACTGGGCTGTGTGGCAGACAGCAGGGTGGTAACAGCCCCGCGCCCCAGGGGGTCCTTGCTGCCTGGGGATCCTGGAGCACCCACGGCTACGGGCTGGAGCTTCGCCTGGGTGTAGCTCTGGGTGCAAAAATCATCCTTCATTCTGGTGATTCCCGTACATTGCATACCCAATATTTCAAAGCCACAGGGTTTCAGCTCTGTGCCTGCCAATTGAGCAGACCATCAAGGGCAGAAGATTAGTTTGTCAGATGTTGTGACTATTTAATCACAAAAATTAGCCTTCCAGACCCTTCCATGGTTTGAGGCAGGAAGACGCAGAGCGCAGATCCTAGAGTTCAAGCCTCAGGAAGGCCTCGCCCATCACACTTCCCTGGGCTGCTCTCAGGCATTCATTAAAACCTTCATGAGTCCCAGTTTGCCGGTTCCTAGGGCGCATGCAGAGCAAGCCAAGAGGGAAGGAAGCGGCCTGGCGCCGGCCCCGAAGCACTGACTCACGGCTCCCACTCAGAGGCCCCAGTGACTCAAGTCTCCAGGAAATCAGCAGCAATGACTCAGAATTTTGGGATCCCCACGCCCCGGGGAGGTCCCCCTGGAACGCGAGCAGGACCTCTCCCACTAGATGACGGTGCTCGCCTACCCTCCCCAGCAGATCAGCAGTGGGAGGAAGCTGGCAGACCGGATGTGGCTGCACATGTGGCTGTCGGCCAGCCGCCCACTCGGCTTCCCTCCCAAACCCCAGGGAGACACATGATGGTAAAAATGCATGCTGTTGCTCTGTGCCAAGATCCAAGGTGGCCTGAGAAAGAAGCAGAGAGGCCGGTCTGCATCGCCTAAACATCCACAGGAGTCCTATGCTGCCCAGCTGAGCAGAGCGGCCTGGCCTGCTTCCTGTTGGGATGGGCCAGCTCCTGAAGCAAATTAGCTGTGGCCAGAAGTCACAGCAGGAGGGCAGAGCAAAGTGGAGGACGTCCAAAGGAAGGGAAAGAGCCATTTACAGAAAAGTCCCCCTTTGACTAATGGCTGGAAGTGGTTTCGGTTGGCTGTGACCCTGCAGGGCAGTCTTGACGGTATGCAGAGGCCCAGAGTTCGAGGCCAAGGCATACATGAAGGGAAGCAGCTTGATCCATTCACACCAGCTGTGCAAACACCTGCTCCCAAGGAAAGCACCCATGTGGGAGACCTGGTTTGAGTTCCTGTCTCCTGGTTTGAGTCTGGCCCAAGCCTGGGTATTTGGGGAATGAATGAACAGATGGAAGGCTTTTCTCGATGCCCCTGTCTCCTTTCAATATATAGGTATATATACCTATAATGTATGTGTGTGTGTATATATATATATTTATGTATGTATCTTTATATATACATGTAAAAGGCCTTGTCCTGTGTCAGAGGTTAGTACCCAGCATTCATATAAGCATCCAACCCCAAGAGGCAGAGGGTGTGGTGGAGCTGATCTTTCTAGGATGGCTACAACACTATTTCCAGCTCCACCTGCTCTTTCAGAACTTTGCCAGTCTGGGCCACTGGGGGCGGGGTGGGGGAGGGGTGTCTGACGCAATGCTACTTCCAAACCTAGGTCATGAGCAAAGGCTCTCGGGGCTTGCGCTGGGAGCTCAAATACCACAAGCCGAGCCCCTTGTCAGCCCTGGCAGCGAGGGGCACAGCCAGGCCTTCCCTGGGGCACTGAGTGCACTTGTCAGCGCAGCCGGTGACCGTGGTGATTGTAGTCGCTAAATGTCAGGCTGTCCTGTGGCATTCATGTAAAGTCTTGGCAAACGTGAAGAACTAAGCCCTTTAGAAATGTGAAAGGCCAGTGAGGCTGTGGGGGCTGGTGGCTGTGAAGGAGAGCAGGGTGGGGGTAGGGGGAGTGGGGCGGGAGGGTGGGAGTGGGGGGACGGGTGGTCACTGCCAAAGGAGCAGAGTGGGGGCGCAGGGAGGAGCAGGCGGTCACTGCCAGGACCTGCTGGCTGCTCTGAGGGGTTGCAGGCGCACTTCCTGAGTCATTCACACCTCGTGACCAGCCCTGAAGACTCACCAGGGGGAAGCACAAGAAGGAGCAATTTTCAAGGGATGAGGTGGCATTTTTGCAATGCACAGTAACTACCCATTTCAGAGGCAGGAAAAGACAAGGGCTGTCTGGAGTTACTGTGAGCAAAGCACTCTCTCCTGTAGTCGCGCACCTGCTTTGAAAGGGGAAAGACGCTCATGCACAGAGAAGGGCAAATGGCTTTGGCACCCACCCCCATCTTCCGAGATGCCATCCCAGCTCTCAGCAGCCACAGACAGAACAAAGGCAGCTGTGTGTCTAATGAACCGGCACAGGCATTTCAGCAGAGCTGATGCCCCGGAGGGGGTGAGCCGTGCCAGGAGCCGGACCCTCCCAAGTCCAATGCCCGGGTTGAGGGAACACAAGCATATGCCTAGGATAAGAGGCACTGTCAGTGCGGTAAGCATTATCAGTGCATCTGAAAATGGTGACAAAAGCTCACTGTTCCGCAATGAAAACACCATGATGGGGTTCCTGTGCCGTTCTGGTCCCTGCAAATTCTGTTTCAGATCTTTCCGAGTCCAGGAGCAGTGTATGTTGGATGCATGCAATAAATACACACTGCAAAACAGAGATTTCTGTAACTTTACTCAACACAGAAATAAACAAACATGCAACAATTGCAGGCAAAGCTCGGAGGCGTTGGCCTGGGAATCCAGACACCTCCTAGTTGTTGTGAGGCCATGGGCGCCTGGATACCGTTATGCCTCTGGGCTCCAGGTCTACTTCTCCATAAAAGGGGTGGAGCTAGATGCTATGCTGCCACATGCCTTGGCAGACTCATTCTTTCCAGTCCGCTCAGAAAGAGCAAATAAGGTGCTGAGCGCTGCTCACACGTGGAAGAGAACACTTGGTACAGCAAACAAAACCAGACTCGGTTTGAAAAAATGAGTCATCCCTCTCCCAACCCATTCATCTGCTTCGGGTGTTTAGATCTGAACAATCAGTGTTGTGAGGATCTGTTGCTAAGCGAGGGACTGCTGTGAGACGATGGCTTGATGCCAGCTTGATTTCGTTCATGAACTTGAGGAAGGCCTCAGCTGTGCAGCTTGCCTCTCTCCCCCGGAGGGGCTGCGGCTGGAGCCCCCACTTCCGCAGTCTAAGCAGGCAGATGGGGCGGCTGGGGGCCCTGTCCATGTGGGCTACCAGCTTGAAGGCCCCAGGACAGCTTCTAATGGGGGGACATGACACCCCAGAGCTCCCTGGGACAGCCCGACAAGGTGGGGGAGCTGGTGCTGCCTGGATGCATCCCGGCTTGTGCGTGGGAAGAGCGACAGAATTGGTAGCGATTTTAAGTCACCCCCAAAGCAAGCTGCCAGAGCGGTAGCAGTGTTTTCAGTTCTTGCTATTCCAGGCTCTGTGACATGTTTCGTCTTTCCCACCACCCTGTATCTTATTTGCACTTTGAGATGAGAAGCTAAACGGCCAGCCCAAGGCCATGCAGCTGTTTGCAAAAGTCTTCTGAAGCTGAGCCCTTGTAATCCAGGGTCCCCCAACACCAAAGAAACTGCTGGACAGCTCAGACCCCAGTCCAAGCCCCAGAGACTTCTGTACCCCTTGGGCCATCCTGGGGGGCAAAGGACCCATCCTCCCATCTGGAGCCAGAGTGCCCCTGGGCTCACTTGCCGGACCCTCACCACTGTAATGACTGCTGTGTGATGTTTGTCCTCCAACCCAGCTCCAAGCACAAGTACAGATGGGGCAGACCCAAGGTCAACTCTCAGCAGGGAGCCCCTTGTTTGGAGCAGAGTCATCTAGGCAAACCCGAGAGAGTCAACCTGCAAAGTTATGAGCGAGAATGATTCAAGCAGCTGAGGTCAGGGGTGGTTCCACGGGAAAAGAAGCGGAGACGAGCAGATAATTTGTTGAGGATCCATTCCGGCACGCGTGTTTCACCTCCTGATTTACTGCTCCATGGCCGGAGCGCAGGAGTTTCTGGCACTCAGATTTTCAATGATCGCACCTGTATCGTTTCTTCTAAAAACTGTGACCTAGGAGAAAACACTGAAGGCAATTCACATAGTTCAGTAGTCTCAACTTCAAAACCATCGAATGTAACAATGATGGGTCATATTTGGAAAGTCTATTTAGATGGGTTCATCCAAATTCTATTGAAATAGCTCTACTGACAAGTTACTCAGTTTTAAAAAAAAGACCCAGAAACTTGCTAAACTGAACACAATTATTCATCAGACATTTTAAGATAAAAGTAGCTTGTGTGTAAAAAAGAGGAACACTTAATTTACTGCATTAAAAAACTTTATTTCATTTAAAAGGTCCAGTAGAAGCCAATGAAACCCGAATTTATAGCTACATTTTGAGATTTCCTGAACTAAATGGCACGGTTTGAGCTGAATACCTTGTTAAGGAAGTATTTGCCAGTACCACCATTTCCCCCATAATATTTTCGAGCAGAAGCTGGTATTATTAGAATACACATCGGAAATTTCGGTTGTCATCCTTCATGCAGAAGTTAAAGAAAGTAAACAGGTCAGGGCCTAACTGCTTCTGACACACAAGGTGTAACAATAAAGGAATTCACTGCGGTGCTGAGGTGGTTCATCAAGCAGTCCACGTTCGCATGCCAACAACACTGCTGATGCTGAAACACCAGTCTGCAAGGGCTCGGGACTTCCCCCATCAGGTGCAGACCAAAGCAAGCGGGTTGTCTGTCAGGCTGGAGACAGACCGTCACAGATGCAGTTACAAAGCAATGAAATCGTTTTCCTGGTGGGCCTGGAACTGCATGAACCACTTCACACATTTCAGTCACAGCATCATTTATAGAAAGTGATGCAGAATCTAAACTCTGGTTTAAGTGAGGCTAAATTAAAAACAGTGCGTTACTTTATAGCTACACCTTGGATTTCATCAGACAGAAAATCTCAGTGTGTCCAAGGAGTCCTTTTGGAAACCACTTCAGCAGAGAAGGAGTCAGACAGCCTGTGAAAGAGAAGACATGGCAGAGGGCACGAGGTCCGTCCTCCAACGTTCTCTCCGAGGACAGAGCAGTGCCAAGACACAAGTTACCAGGAGGGAGGCTTCAGTTCCAGCTAAGGAAGACCTTTCTAACAGTGAGAGCTGCTCAACACCTGAATGGACTGCTTGCTGAGGTAGAGTCACTGGAAGTGTTCAAGGTGGAAAGATCACCCTTGGAGAAGGGACGCCTGCACTGGCTAAGAGGTTAGACTGGATGAACCTCAGGTCTCTTTCAATTCTGAGATTCTAGAAAATTCCCTCAGGGAATTCAGAAGAGAATTCCTAAAAGGAAAGAGAAAGCACACATATATATATATATATACTTTTAGAATCCTCTTGAGTTTTCTTTTTTTCAAAAGGTACAATAGAAAATGCAGTCCACTGTGTCTAAAATGCATATTCACCTTCCTACTACTAACAATTAGGAAGGGTTCATTATGACTTCTTTATATTATAAAGAAAAGATGGAAGATTACATTTATAATTTTTGTAAATATTAAAAAAAAACTCCTTAAAATCTAGTAGTCAATGCCCTAGAAACTTTATAGATTTTTAGATAATATGCACAGATACAAATACATTATTCATTAAATACAACTCACATTTGTGTTTTATTATACTCTAAAATATACAGGAATCTTGATGTACTGAAAGAGTGCAAGTAAATACAGTATTCAAGCAGTCACTATTTCTATGTACATGCTCATTAATTCATCAAAAAACCCACAAAATTATCAAATAGATCAAAATACTGTTCTGTGTTTTCACACTTTATATTCAGAAAAACCAGCTGATAATTTACAATGTCATAAAGTTTCCAGTTTCACAATACAAAAAGGATAAGATGAAATCTGATATCATTTTGTTGCAGTCTATGGAACTTTACTCCCTATATATGCAAAATCATTTGTATTGGGAAAATGAGTTTGCAGTAAAAGGAGAATCACTTATTTTAAAGCCTCAACACTGGCTTTTTTCCTCTCGGAAATTTGAAAGGCCATCTTCCATCTGGCAGGAAACTGCTTCTGTGTCCGACTGCAACGGGTTATTACAGCACACTGATGCGAAGCCACATAGGAGCGGAAGGCTTCACTGCTGGCAATCGTACCCTTCCGAGGGACCCAGCGCTGCCTAATCTATGAGTGACAGTGAATTCTGTTGCCTTCTGATTCGCCACCATTTCAAAACTTAAAGAGCAAAATAAATGACAACAAAAATCGCCTAATCCATTGTGGAGGCACAGAGGTCAAGTCAGCGACACAGGCGTATCCAAATGGTTCGGCTGAAGCTTCCTCCCGCCCCTCCCCTGCAGCAGGGTGGAGCCACCTTTTCATTCCATGGATTTCTTTTTGTAGGAAATCCTTTGCATCTTCCAACAAAAATAGTTTAATTTTTAATGCAAACTATTCAAAACTGGGCAAAAGCCTTCACGCCAAGCCTTCTCAGGTCTATGTCATGTGTATTTCCACCCTTACTACACCCAGTCAGCTGGTTTTCAATTCTAACATTATAAAAATTGGAATTTTAAAATTTTTATGTAAAAGAAAAGAATGTAAAAATACATCTGCTTTCTTTCATGGTTTAATACAGTACTGGAAGGCTTTCAGATGCTTTTGTTTAAAAAAAAAATCAACATTTAAAATCAAATCTCAGCTTCATTTTCAGAAATATCAAAGTTTACATAATGTCTCTTACTTCACCTACCCCAGTTTCCACAGAATGGCATTCTAGTGAAAGAACCTTTAAATGATTTGGTCCTTTGGCAATTTGCTGTGCACACAATGCCTACTACATCAAACTTTTATTGCCTTTAAGTTTAGCTGTAATTTTGTTGGTAAAATTGAACTCTAGTGTCCTTACTCTTTTGAAATAGTGTTGGCTTGTGTAGCAAGGTTAGGACGGCACAGTGTCCCAATTTACTTCTGGCACTGCAAGACTGAATTAAACAATTCCATAACGCAATCTGACATCAATATGCTTTTATCTGGTCAACTCTATGTCAATATTTTAGAAGTTCCTTTTGTAAAACTTGCCTTGAAAATTCTTCTTCCTAGTGCCATCGCATCTCTTCCACTCACTCACTGCACGATCCTGCTTCTTGGGTTGATTTTGTACGTGAATGAGAAGCTCAGTTTGAGGCTTTAGTGTCGGAACCCCTGCCCTCGGGCTCGGCCTCTCAGTAGGTTTCAGAATCGGAGTCATTGAGCTCATCCACATCTGTGTACAGGTACTCCTGTTCCCCAGCAATGTTGTTAAAACCACAGTAGGAGCTAGAGTCATTCCTCAGACTGGGCAAAGCTTCAAAGCTGACAGTTTTTGAGGCGTTTGTGTAACGGGTAATGGCATTGAATGATGATAAAGGGCTACTTGAAGAGACAGGCATCATTGTGGCCAAAATGAGAGCCAAGCAATCAGCCACATCCTTGTTGGGAGCACAGGCCAACGCTGGGGTGTAACCTAGAACCGAAAGATAAAATTAGAAACTGATATCCTACATGTACTTCATAAATACTAGAAACAGAGCCCCAAGCCCCCAACTTTACATAGTTTAAATTACTCACGAACTGTTCTAGCCAGGAAGCTCTTACAGCCTGGGCAACAATAGAAATCAACATATATCCAGAGATCCCAACATATATCTGTCTGTCTAAACGCACAGAGGCAACTGAGCTAGAATAAAAGGAAACCCAAAAGCCTTCCATGAGAATGGTGAGCAGAGGTTTGCTGTCCATCCACAGCCTCTGGACCCTTGCTGAGAGGAGTACAGATCCGCCCTGGAGGCACTGAGCAGGCCTTCCAAAGTCATGTTTCCAGTGACTGACTCTTGGTGAGTAGCTTCATTTTTCTCTTGGAGAAAAACAAGATAAGTTGGACAGATAAAGCAAGACAAATGTTTCCTTCGTAGCCTCTCCTGCCATTTTTAGTAAGCAAAAATGACTGACTGATGGCACAGGGCTCCACAGAGTATCAGCGCAGCCAGCGGAGGGGCACTGGGTCTGACAGACTGCGGCCTCTGCAGGGCAGTGCCCTGCCACCATTACCTAGGTATACTCTCAACACTTCATTCTCTCTGCTTAACAGTTTATTCTCATGTTCCTTCCCCACCTTTTTCTTCTTAGAGTTTTGGCTCGGAAGTTCCTTTTAGGATCTTCGTAAGAAAGGGTCTGAAGACCCTCATACGGCCTCATAGCATGCCAGGTTTAATGCAATTAAACTCTCCATGTGCTGTGCAGCCTCTTGCACTGCTCCTACTGCAGCCTGAGGACGCCCGGAGCACATGGCATCATCACTCTTGCAGAGCGCTTGTGAGCAGATGCAAAATTGATGGAGACAGAATTAACTGGTTAAATTCATTCACAATTTTCCCATGGCATGCATTCTCCATGAACTCTGTGCGGTGTCCTCGGTCACTGAACCTCTGCAGAACCAGGCAGGTCTCTCAGCACTCTGAACACATCCCTGGAGGTAAACTGACAAAGATTCCTTGTTCTTATGGAGCACATAGTCATTCTAGTGGGGAAGACCCAAAATAAGCCATGCATAATGTTAAAAGATAGGCTCAAGGGAAAAAATGAAAGAAGAAAGAGAGTAGGGCAGGTTGAAAGAGACTGAAGACAGTACGGCGGCAGGACCGTGTAACAGGCTGCTACACAAAGTGGTGGTTAGCACAAACTTTATTGAAAAGATGAAATCTGAGGTAAGACTTGCAAGAATTGAGGATCAGTCAGGAATACTCAGAAGGCCAAGTATTCCAGGAAGAGGAACTGCCAGAGCAAAGACCATGCCTAGAATGTCTGAGAGAGAGCTGACATCCAGATCCAGACAGTACCCACCAGAGGGTCTGGTGCTATAGCCTAGTGGCTGAAGCTCTTGCCTTGCATGTGCTGGGATCCCAAATAGGTGCTGGTTCGTGTCGCGGCTACTCCATTTCCCATCTAGTTCCCTGCTTGTAGCCTGGGAAAGCAGCTGAGGATGATCCAAAGCCTTGGGATTCTACACCTGCTCAGGGGACCTGGAAGAACCTCCTGGCTTCTGACTGGTTCAGTTCCAGCCATTGCAGCCAGAGGACGGAGATCTTTTTTTTCTCGCCCCCCCTCGCTGTAAATCTGACTTTCCAATAAGAGTAAAATAAATAAATCCATACCAAAACAAACAAAAAAGCCCCCTTAACCAGGGTAGTAGCAGCGAATACAAGAGCAAGCAGACATTTGGGGTTCCCCCTCAGATGGACGACAGCACACACTGGGGTGTACACGGCGGCCAACAGGCTGGTGACTGTCCCCCCGAGGGTTGGCCTGGCGCTGACAAGGACAGGGTCTGTCCTCAACTGCGATCAAGATGGCTGATGACAACTAGGGAGAGAACTTACTAGTTCAGGTTTTGGACATGTTAGCTTTGAATTATTCATCAGATAACAATATGGTTAGGTGGATATAAAAAAACAGAACTTAAGAGAGCTCAATCTGGGCATTCTTGGCATTAACTCCTTCACAGTCCTTAACCAAGTGGGTCAGCTGCGCCAGAGGCTGACCTGCCCAGCACAACAGCCAAGGGTCTCATCATCATCATCATCATCGGGGATGTGCACATTTATGGGAACAGTCTGCAGTGTGCTGGGAGCAAAGACCTGGCTGAAGCAGATGGAAGAGCGTGAATGAATGAGAAAGGGGAGTTCTTGAGTAGTTTTGCCGCAGAAGGGAATGGAAAGATATGGCACAGTACAGGGACTGACATGATGTTTCTAAAATGAGAGAACTAATGTTTAGATACCTAGGGCAATAATCCAGTAAGAGAACAAAAGGCAGCTACACGTAACCCAGAAGGGAAGGATTATTGCAGTGTCATGCTCAAGGTGGCAGAGGGGACAGGATCAGTGCTGGCATCAAGAAGGACACACGTAGGGTCTTGGTGAGTGTTTTTGGCGATGATGATGGACAGAGGCAGCAAACGTGCGCAGTGAGCACTGACTCTAGTCTGACACGTGACCTGGTAATCTGAGTTCATCTGATACATGGATCTGTCCTGCCTTTCTTGCCCTTACTCCTTTGCTAATAAATATTACTCAGTATTAACTACCTCTGATTTGCCAAATAAAAAACATGTAAGATTTTTTGTTTTGTACTTCAACTAGAGATCACAAGGACATCAAAGCTTCTATCTGACACAGGTGGAAGAACACAGACTCACCGTTTTCATCGACTGCAAGCACACTTGCTCCTTTCCCCAGAAGCTCCTGAACCACCGTTGTTAGCCCATTCCGGGCAGCAACATGCAGAGGTCTAAGGAAACAAATTGTTGTTAAGACGGTACTGGCAAACACATAGCAGAGGCATAAATGATGAACAGCAGTACACATTTTAATAGGCTTTGAAAATGGCTGCAGGTGCCATGACTAATCTCTAGGCCCTCAAGGAATATGATGCTAGGCTGTGAGTAAGCACTCTGGTGCTGTCAACCTAGAGGCTGGCAGCTCTCATGACTGAAAATCTTTCTGAAACCTATTTGCACCACACACACACACACACACACACACACACTCACACTCTAAGGCTGTATGCCTCATTTACCACCAGTGTCACATTTATCACAGTTGACTGAGAACATAGAACAGTACTATCTTCCTTTAGAAAATAAACCAGGTAAATGATAGAGAAAAAAGTGTAGTATTGTTAATGTTCTAATAAAGTTTCAGTTAAAAAACTTTTTAGTGCATCTTAAAAAAATTTCTACTGATTTATTTTCATTCTATTCGAAAGCTAGATGCAGACAGACACAGACACACAGCTTTTCCATCTTACAGCTCACTGTCTGAATGACTGCAACAGTCTGGACTGTGCCAGGCCAAGGTCAGGAGCTAGGAACTTGAAACAGGTCTCCAATGTTAGTGACAAGGACTCAAACAAGTCATTACCTACAATCATAGGGGGAGCTGGGACTGGAACCCAGGCTCTTCAACATGATGCATGGGTATTCTGAGCAGCAGCTTAACCCCTCACCCAATGCCCACAGAGTGTAACAGGCTTTTGAATTGTGATGGCTTTAGAAATTAGTTTTGTTGGGGCTGCTACTACGGCCTGGTAGGTTAGTCCTCTGCCCACAACACCAGCATCCCTTATGGGAACTGGCTTGAGTTCAAGCTGCTCCATTTCTGGTCCAGTACCCAATTCCTTGGCTCATGTACCCACAGACAGGGGAGATCCAGAAGAAGCTCCTGGACCCTGGCTTTGGAATGGTCCAGCTCCAGCTGTTGCAGCCATTTGTAGAGTAAACCAGTGGACCAAAGAGCCATCTCCTCCCTCTGTAACTCTGCCTTTCAAATAAAAATAAAGAAATGTAAAAGGAAATTAGTTCTATGATTGTGAAACTATTCTTTATTTTTAAGCTGCTTCTATAACTAATGGAGGCTAACCCAATGGTCGCATATTTAACTTTTATTTAACTTTTCTTGGTAATTATGGATCAACAGTTTATGCTAGACACGGAAGTACTCACGTTTGCAAGGCTGCGTTGGTTGCATTGATGAGGTTTCTATCTGTTATCTTTTCCAATATTAACAAGGCACTAGTTTCATGACCCTAAAATTGCGGCAAAATAACTCTTTAAGAAACTTGGAGCACTATTAAAAGTAAATGTATATACATCTAAAACCCCAGTTGTAAATCATTTATGTACAAGACCATACATGGCACAGATTTTCCTAGCTAATGAATTAAATATTTGCCTGAATATATGTTAGGGGTAGGAGCAGACAGAGAAGATGGAAAGAATTAAACAATTACTTTGTTCAGGCTCTATAACAGTCTAAAAGTTACATGGCTTAAAGGAGACTTTCGTATAGCATGGTCTAATAAATTCAGCTGTTTCTGTACAATAAACCTGACGTCAATTATCACTAAAGGTTTGGTGCCTGGCCCTATCCTATTAATGAAGAATAAAAACTTGTAACTGCGATGCCCTTACAACATGTCCTTACCTTGCTGCAAGCCAAATGGAGGGCGGTGTTTTTACTGTGATCGTGGAGAGTCAGATCTGCACTAGCACTGCTCACCAGCATCTCTGGGAGGAAAAAGGGCATCAGTGCTAGGTTATCGACCTGTTTTTAGATTACCAATAATCACTGCAGAGAAATGAAGATCAAAGCCAAAAAAAAAAATCCCTTTCACAAAACTTCAGTGCAAGAGAAATATTGTAATATAGAACATGTTATACTGTCTCATAAGTGGTAAAGAATCTCTATTGCTGTATAAACCACAGACGACAACAACAGCTGTTACTATTTTCTGAGCCCTTACTAAATTTAAAAAACTATTTTACAAGCTCTGAATTTATAGTAATTTATTTTACCTCAACCACAACCCTTTAAGTAGGTACTGTTATTTTTCTCACTTTAAAAATGCACTGACACACATAATTACTCATCTAGAAGATCCAGGACTCTGTTCCAGGCAGTGAGACTCCACAGTCACGTTCTTAACCACCATGAGACAGTGCCTTCTAACCAAGGACAACGTTACACTCCCTAAATAAATGTGAGCTGCGAGCAGAGCAGAAAGTGGGAGGCCCAGACTGGGCTCTAAATGGCACACTGTGGGCAAACTGGTCCTTACCGACGGTGTTTGTCTGCCCGTTTTCTGCAGCCATCATAAGAGGCGTTTTCCCAGAGGAGTCCACAGAATTGACCTGAGCGTTGTGGCTCAGCAGGAGCTGTAAACACTCAACGTGGTCTGTGAAGGCAGCTGCATGCAGAGGAGTTCTGTGAAACAAAAATGGCTTTAGATCAGCTCAGCTCCAGCCACTGCGGCTGCTTGGGGAGTGAATCAACAGATGGAAGATCATCCTCTCTGTCTGTCCTCCCTGTATATCTGACTTTGTCATAAAAATAAATAAATCAGAAAAAAAAAAAAACCCAAAAAGACAGGCTAAAAGCCATAAACACAAAACTCATAATGCAAAAAGATTTTCAGAACAATTTTTGCTTGCAAATATAAAAATTAACTCAATACTAACTCAAGTAAATTCTCACACATTAAGCTAATGGCTGAAAACTCTTCCAATGGAAAGCAAATGTTTTCTGCATAGCTGAATTCTCACCTTCCTCTGGAATCAGTAGCGTTCACGATGCTGGCTCCTAACGTATCAATCAACATCTCAGCAGCGCCTTCATTGTCATTGATCCTGTGTAAGGTAACAAGGTGATCACTTACAATGGGTCTCTCTTAACACATTCAACCCAGCCCTAACTCATTCCGGCTTTACTTACACAGCACAATGCAACGGACTGAAAGCATTGCCTTCTGTTTTCTGGAAAACTTCCTGTTCTAACAGAAGTTCTACACATGTCTCATGACCTATGTAGGTAAAGAAGACCAGGTATTAAAATCCAGAGACGATACTGGCAAAGGCCTCAGATACTCAGTAACCCAGTTCCTGCAATCTTGTCCCCTCCCTAGATGACAACCACCGTGCTTCCACCGCTGCAGAAAATCTCTAGACAAACACAACAGCACATATGCAAACTGTCCTTTTAAAAGGCAAATGAAATTATTTGTTTTCCACCTTGCTTTTTAACATGCATAAAAATCTCATTATTAACTGTTTCAAAAATTTCAAAGTATGAAGGTCCACACCAATGATTTAATCTATGATGTTTTTAAGGTCACTTAAACAGATCCCTGTGTTATTATTAACGGTGCTATAATGAAGTATTTTTATGCTTTTTAAAATCAAGTGTTTTTGTAAGAAATATAGCTTCTACAAATGATATTAGTGCAGGAAAGAATAAGTATCCATATTTTGAAACATTACGTCCATATCCCTGTAGTCCCCAAAAAATCCCTTTGGTGCACAGAACAATTCTGAAGTTTTGAGAGACATCCACTGTGTTTTATAGCTGTGCTGGCTGCTTCAGAACATCCTTGTCATATGGTCTGGCCTTCCAGCAGGACTGCAGCAACACAGCAGGACTCTATGTGTGCACACAGGAGGCTCTCAACACTGGTTCTTCCTGCTCACTGCCTGCCGTGCCTGTAGCCAACAACAGCAATTATACAAAATGCAAACTAATACCCCACACTGGATAAAAACCGAAACACCTAGCACTAAAGCAAAAACCCATTTTTGCCTAAAGGCTTGGGAGTTATTTCTTCAATTTCCCTCCCATCTGCCAAGTCCTGAATCAGCACCACCATGGCAATGCCTACTGGAACAGGAGCCCTCAGCTTTGAACAGCAATTTGTAAAACGACGACAACAAAATGAGAAAGTAGTGCGAACCCAGATTTCCTTAACCCAATTTGCCAAACCAGGGTTTTAGCAAAAACACCCTAATGGCTGCAAGGAACGACTCTTCTTCTATTCCACTAGACATTTCAGATCCACTGTGACAATCAATTAGATTCCTACACAGTCTCTTTATTTAAATGGCTTAAAGTCTGACAAAGTGATGCTGCATTTTCTTTGTTAATTATCCTAACATATTCAAACAACAGCTCAACTTAAACATAATTGTTTCACTGGGACGGGGTAATTTTTAGGAAGATTAAAATATTTTGTCAGTTTTTCCACTAATCCAATAGTTCTGTGTAACCCTTATGCTTGTCAGAAGACATTTGTCAGTGTTAGAGACAAGTGGAGTATGGAAAAGTGCTTTTGGCGTCTGGTGGGTAGAAGCTAGGATTACAGCTAAACATCCTGCATCTTAAAGGACATACGGGCCTAACACGTCAACAATGCTGGGATTGAGAAACTGCTAATTCTCTCTCTGAATGTTAGCGTACACTACTGCTTTTAATTCCATCTAAGTGAAAATTCATCACTGAGAAATAAAACAGAAACAGAAACTGATCAGTATTGATTTAAGAGCCTCTCACTCTACTGAAACATGGATGAAGGTGCTACCTGGAAAGCTCTGGCTTTTACTGAGAAGGAGTATTACAGATGGGGCACGCAGCCATGTGGGTGCCAGTTCACTCCCCAGCTGCTCTACTTCCAGTTCAGGTTCCTCCTCATGGCCTGGGAAAAGCAGCTGCAGTTGGCCCAAGTATTCTGGAGCCTAGGCACTCATGGTACCTGGATGAAGAACTTGGTGCCTGGCCCAGCACTGGCTGTTGTGGCTACCTAGGGAGTGGACTAACAGATGGAAGACTAGCTCTGATTTTAAAAATAAATAATACATAAGTAATAAATCTTGGAGAAAAAAACCAAAACCAAAAACTAGTCATTAAAAAGTTTACCACTTACCACTGAGAAAGTATTCTAAGTTTTTAAAATAAATCTTATTTATACCAGTATCCAAAAGATTATTTTAAAATATATCTATAAATATTTTAAATTTGTCAATGTTTCTAATACAGTCAATATCAATAGACACAGGTTCTGAGACCACTCTGTGTGATAGTGAACATCAGAGCAAAAGGGCCTATCACAGTTAAGAACAGAATAAAGCTAGCCCTATTCACGTTTCAGAGTTAATTCTAAGAGTGCTTACAGTGTCATGAAATCTGATCAAACTTTAAAGGGAACAAACAAGGTAATGAGGACTTAATTTCTGTGATTAAAGGACTAAACTAAAAGTTCTGACGTTTAGCATGTATAGCCTGTTCCTTTCTCAAATCTGGTCCTCCCTTCAAGAGGATGGCTGTCTTCTGTTTTGCAGGTGCTTCCCCAATTCACTCTTTACCCATACAATAATTAACAGCTAAGTCTAAGCCATTATACATACTCTACTTTCAGAATACCAAATTACAAGCCAGGCTTTCGATGAACATGGTTTTAATTTTAGACTGCCTCTATAGTCTCTTCTTTCATACAGCCAATACATATTTAGTTCCTTCCAGCTCAATTCAGAAACACATTTTTGCCTCACTTTTGAAAATTAGGCATATCCGCTATGATTTTTTTCAGTGACAACCAGGCATGTGGTTCATGCAGAATTCTGCTCTTGAACAAAAACAAACTTAAAGTGCCTAAATTGAGAAACCATGAGTAGGAACAGTGTTCTACATATAGACCTGGGTAAGAAATGCAAAAGATAGGCCCCAGCACTACAGCCTAGTAGCTGAATCCTCGCTTTGCATGCTTGGGATCCCACATGGGCGCTGGTTTGTATTCTGGCTACTCCATTTCCGACATACTCTACTCCCTTGCTTGCGGCCTAGAAAAGCAGCAGAGAATGACACAAAGCCTTTGGGACCCTGTACCTCCAGGAGGAGGCTCCTGGCTCCTGATCAGCTCAGCTCCAGGCACTGTGGCCACTTGGTGAGTGAACCAGCAGATACAAGTTCTTTTTCCCTGTTTATCTGCCGTTCCAGCAAAAATAAAACCTTAAAAAAAAACCTCAAAAAACAAAAAACATGTAGATGACAGCAACTCCCTCTTTGACAGTGCTGGAGCATCACTAAATGCTCCATGGAAGGCACTTGTCTGGTACCCATGCAGCAGAGCTAACCTGTGAAAAGTCTCTAAGATCCACTGAGTATGCTGAGCACCATGTCAGCGGCGATACAGGGATTCTGTGATATGCTCAGAAAGCACACAGATTTCAGTTTGGAATGTCAGCCATTTCACTGTTTCCTCTGTCCTATTCACTTTTTTCTGATACAAACACATTTAGAACACAAAATAGTGTAGTCAAAAGAAAGCACACTATACAAAAAGAAATGGAAACATAAAAACCTTTGAAGGTACCACATTTTGGTTGAACTAAAAAACAAAGGTCTAAGAAGAAACTTCCAGACATTACAGATTATCTTAAAATATCTGACAGAACCGGCTTCAATATGACAAAGGACATGACAATGGGACACTGTTCCCATGCTCTCTACTCTTTCCAGACTTGACATTTCCCTTATAAATGTATCATCTTCACTAATCCAAGAGTGCCTGACAGCTGTCTGCTCTGCACAGCTACAGGAAAGGAGGCAGGCTTCTATGTACTTAACCGTTGTAGCAGGCCCAGTGAAGTGCTGTATATCCGTGATTGTCTGCTAGGGCTGGATTTGCATCCGTTGAGGCTGCTGCCTGCAAGAGGGCTCCAAGAACTCCAATGTGTCCACAGGCAGCTGACAGGTGCACAGGTGTTCGACCTCTGCTATCACGAAGCAAGCACTTAGCACCGTGTTGAAGTAATGCATCTACACATTCTTCATGGCCTGTAACTGCCTGAAAGAAAGATAATCTGTATAGAGTAGACTTCCTGCCAATTGAAGCTGATTTCAATAATCTAAAGTACGTATTACACCTTTCCATCAATTAAGCTGAGTATTTAAATTTTTTTTTTTTACTGAAAGTGACATAAAAATCCAGTTACAGTAACAACATACAAATTGTATGAAAAACAATCCACTGAAAATAATAAAGCTGAAAAGTTAAGATTAAAATATGTAAGAAAATGGTTGGGATAATGGAAGAAAAGTCAAAATGACACTAATTCTACTCAAGATCTTAGGCTTTTACGATTTAAAAAGCGAGTAAGCAAAGTCTAGTTCAGTTCTGGCGAGTAGGAGCTTAGGGTCGTCCCCTCTGCAGGCCATGTGGCAATTCTGCTCACCCCTCTGTGCAGTGCGGTCCTTCCCCACTTGTCTTTGGCATCCACACTGGCTCCTTTGTTCAGCAGTGAGTAGACACAGTCCGTGTGCCCATTGAGAACAGACAGCATCAAAGGGGTCCTGAGCCACAAGAGAACAGGTTCAATGCCATCACTAAGACTATCAGCAACAACCAAATAACGTGATAGCCAGTCTTCCAAACATGCTTTTTTCTGATGCAACATTAAAGCATATTTAAATTTTAGAAGCCTTCTGTTCAGGAGTGGCACACCTGCTTTCTGTAAATCATAATCTTCCCATTCAAGTTGATTCACATTGAGTTTATCCTCTAGAGGTAAAACCATTCCATATCTGGAAAGGACTCATGTCTGAAGCCAGCTTCTCTGTCTTTTGTCTTTGAGACGAACCCTCTATGAGAAGTGTCTGCGGGGACACTCAGGCCTGAAGAGGTGAGGGTGAGTGGTTACACACTGGATGCAGCAGTTAAGAGGTTGTATTGAGGACTTCCATACGCCATACAGGAATGGCTGATGGGGTGCTGACTATTCTGCATCTGTACCAGCTTTGTCTTCTACCCTGGAGAGCAGCAGAAGAGGGGCTCAAGCACTTGGGTCCCTGCCTCCCATGTGGGACACCAGGAACGAGACCCAGGCTTTGGTCTGTAGTAGCTGGTATTTGGGGAGTGAACCAGTGGATGGATGCTCTCAGTCTCCAATTTTTCTATCTCTTAAAACACAGTATTTGATTCTACTGAGCAGCATACTAGAAGCACATGAACAGTCATCTTAAAAGTAATTTTAAAAATTCCTGAAACTTACTGTCCATTTCCATCTTGAATATCTACAGCATTCTGTGGTTCTGCATTTCCTATTAACAGCCGTAAGCATTCTGAATGACCATTTGTTGCTGTAAAGTGAAATTAAAACATTTTAGTAATTATGACAAAATAAAAAATGTGTATCTTTACAGCACATTTTATAGTACTTAGTTTGGAAGGGTAATTTCACTAGATTTAATATGAAAGAACAAAAACTACAGGTACAAAGGAAGTTTCTACTGTCTTCTGTGTCACAAATCCTTCAGGCTAACTCTCCTTCCCTCACCCCTACACCCCAGCACCCACCCTGACCATCTGCAAGCTACTGGAATGTTTAGCTTAGCAGCCTTCTGGCACTGTGCACAGGGAAGGTGGCTTGCTTCCAATCACCGGATGAAATCATGAATAGACCAAGTCGATGCCAACACCCCCATTCTCTGACTGTGGTCAGTGTCAAGGGGAGTACACGGCCCAGGTCTGACGACAGGGTTTTGAAGTCTATAGGGCTTCTGGGAAATATATATATAGGTTTGATAATGAAAACCACTCCTTTTTCTTGATTTTGGATGAGATCCTGTGACGAAGCAGTGACCATTCTGCAACCTGACTATAAAAGTAGGGATGTGAGGAATAAAGCAGCAGATGGGACCGTGTTCAACTTGTTTCTCAAATAAGTTAAAAGACATTCTCCTTTCTATCCTCCCTCTCCAGCTTTTTTTTTTTTTTTTTTTTTTTTTTTTTAACAAATAAAGAGAATAAGAATTTGGCCAGAATGGAATCAACCAACCCTGGAACTGTATCTATCTCTGCCCAGTTTATAGAAAGATTTCTATACTTCCTTGAAAGGCACAATTTCAGAGAGAGAGAGAGAAAGAAACAGATTTCCATCTAGTGGTTCGCTCTCCAAAAGGCTGCCATAACCAGGCTGGGCCAGGCTAAAGCAGGAGCTTTGCCCAGGCCTTTTCCATATGAGTGCAGGGGCCCAAGTACTTGGACTATTTTTGACACTGCTTTTCCCAAGTCATTAAACGCAGGCAGCTGGACTGTAAGTGAGCAGCCAGAAAATAAACAAGTGCCTAAATAGGCTACCAGTGTTGCAGGCAGCACAGCATTTATCTATAAAGATGTGCCATATATCTGTATCTCTATCTACCTCTATCTCTATCTATCTGTCTAGTTTGAAGCTTAAAAGAATTTACAAAAATACATATCAGCCAAATAACAATACAGAAAATACTACTAATTAGAAATGACAAACTAGTAAAAACTAGCTACCACTAGTCTACAAAATGTTTCTGACAGATAAGCTAATCTCTAAAACAGTTTGTAGCTCTTGAGGCCGGTGCAGTGGTCTAACCAACTAAGCCTTCAACTGCAGAGACAGCATCCATTATGGGCACCAGTTCTAGTCCTAGCTGCTCACTTTCGATTCAGCTCTTTGCCTATCGCCCGAGAAAGGTACGGGGGATTGAGCAAATCCTGGGATCCCTGTGCCCATGTGGCAGACCCAGAAGTGCCTGGCTCTCTGCTTCAGACGTCTCAGCAGCTCCAGCCGTCACGATGCTTGAGGAGCAAACCAGTACATGGAAGTGCTTTGTCTCTCCTTCATTTCTGCCTTTTAAATTAAATTAAACAAACCAACCAACCAATAAGTAAATAAATCGCTAAGAAAGAGCATCCCATAACACCTGGGATGGTTCAAGGAGACCTTATTTGGCCCATTGTTTTTTGAAAAGATTCATTTATATTCAGCGCACAGTAGCTACTGAAGAGGATTATCAGAATATCAAGTGGGAAGTGATCTGAAAAAGATTTACAGAGCAAGGCTTGCACTGATGGAACAGGTAGGTGCTAACATTAACCTACAGCTCTTTTTTTTTTAAATTTATTTATACTTATTGAAAAGGCAGATATACAGAGAGGAGGAGAGGCATGGAGAAAGCTCTTCCATCCACTGGCTCATTCCCTAAGTGGCCGCAACGGCCAGAGCTGAGCCGATCTGAAGCCAAAGCCCGGAGCCTCTTCCAGGTCTCTCAAGCAGGTGCGGGGTCCCAAAGCTTTGGGCCATCCTCAACTGCTTTCCCAGGCCACAAGCAGGGAGCTGGATGGAAAGGGGGGCCGCTGGGATTAGAACCAGTGCTCTTATGGGATCCTGGTATGTGCAATGCGATGACTTTAGCCATTAGGCTACCATGCTGGGCTCAACCTATAGTTTTTTTTTTTTTATAAATAAGTAGAAAGTACACTGGACCTTACAGCATTGATGAGCCATTTCTTAGGGATTAGCAAGTGTATTAGTTCGAAACTCACCTATTAACGGTGTAAACATTCCATGAAAGCTTTAATTAGTCCTACATTTTTTTTTAGTTGTTGATTGATAGAACTTTATTCTTTTACAGATTAAGACACTACATTTTGATAGCATGTGACCTGTTAGATGTCACCTTATTTAGGGTCTTAAACTATTATGAAAATATTTGTCCTGGTTTAAGCTTTCGATGGTCTTGAAATTCTGCTCTGGAAGCAAGAATTGGGACTACCTGTAGTTTTCTGCTATAATGCTAGCTTCCTGAATAAAATAGAAACAAAACAAATAGAAATAAAAGCCAAGACCATTTATTCAAATATTTTAAACTCCATAAAAGGCAGACTCAGCAAATTCAACGTAATCACATAAACAGCCCCCAAGGATAAGAAAACACTTGGTTAAGTTCTCAATTGTAGCAGCCTCGGTTATTCACAACAGGAGTAGGCATCTGCCATAGGGGTGCAGCTTGAAGTGCCTAGCCCCAGTCCTGGCTACTCGGCCTCTGATCCAGCTCATGCTAATGTGCACCTGGTGGGCAGCACAGAAGGGGTAGTGGATGAAGGATGTTTGCCTTTCAAAGAAAGCAGAAATAAATTCAAAAGAGAAAATGTAATTCCCATAGAGAGCTGTGCCTCTGTACTCGCTAGAAATAAAAAGCTGAATTAAGTCACTTAGATGATGTGGTTAGGTTTTTGTAATTTTCACATTACCAGCAACATCACAAAATTACAACATGAACTAATTTTTATAAAGTTGTTGACTTAAAAATTTTGTCTGGAAAAATGTTTAATGCATAACACTGGTATAGTAAGAATGTATTTCAATTGTCAAATGAAAGTATGCCTAAAATAACTTCCATCAAAAAGTCAAACTGCTTTGACAAAGAATTTAGCATTTATGTAAATCTAATATTAAAAAAAGATTAATTTATTTTACTTGAGAGTTACACAGAGATCTTCTATCCACTGGTTCACTCCCCAAGTGGCCACAATGGCTGGAGCTGAGCCAATCCAAAGACAGGAGCCAGGAACTTCTTCTGGGTCTCCCATGTGGGCGCAGGGGCCCGAGAACTTGGGCCACCCTCAGTTGTTTTCCCATGCCATAAGCAGGGAGCTGGAAGAGAAGTGGAGCAACTGGGACTAGAACTGGTGCCCATATAGGATGATGGCACCAGAGACATAAGATTAGTCTACTATGTCAGCCCCTATAAATCCAACTTTTAAGGCAGAAAAGGATTTTTTAAAAATAGGTAGATCTGTTTGGTTTTCCCCTAAGAATACAATTATCTGACCATTTAAAATTAAAAAAAAAATTGGACAATCGCTATAAATATACACTAGACACTCTCTTGAGTATTAGATGGAAAGTGGTGAATAATTCCAGGATAACCTGTGGCGTACCTGCTGCATGTATAGGTGTTCTCTTCAAAATGTAGTCTTTCACTAAGATTGAAGCTCCCTGATTAATGAGCACATCCACACACTCCACATGGCCCTTAAAGGCTGCCAGATCTAACGGCGTTCTTCCACTACTGTTCCTCACATCAAGATCTAATAAAGATTGCACTAGTACCTCCAGTGCTTGGTGGTGACCATGATAGGCCTAGAAATAAATACAAGTATCAATTAAAAATACATAAGCAGACTGATTTCCTGCATATTTGAAGAATTTAAAGAAAACATATCTTCTCATTACATCTGGCATAATACATTTTCTATATTGAGAATTAACAAAGTAACTACAGCTTTTTATAATCATTAATATAGTAAGTTTACACTTTTGGAGCAGGTTTTCTGCAAAAATCAAAACTGAAAACGACAGAGGATTCTTTGATGAGCACACAGTGCCTGCTTCCTGGCAGATATTCAATGGCTGCTGTGACAGGAACTCCTGTAACACTGCAATGCTAAATGTGCTGTTCCCAAAGCCCGTGTTCTCAGCCAGGACTGGGCACTGCATGTTAACTTTGACCCATTTCACTGCTGTCAAACCACAACGACACCCATAACGAGCGGTCAGTGCTTGGGTTTTCTGAATTTCCACATTAAAACGAGGGTCCCTGTCTCATCACGTGCCACGTTAAAAAAAAAAAAAAATCAATGCTTGTTTTACTAAGGAAATACTCAATTAAGCCTTGTTTGAACTCTTGCCTGGTTGTGTAAGAAAGCAAGATTTGAAGGTTTGTTAGGTTGAAACCTTCCCTTTTACATAATCTGATAAAGGTGTTTCTTGGAAAACTTATTTTTAAAAGTCAGTATACATTTTAATACTGGAAAGGATGCTGAACAGGACACAAAAAACAATAAGCTAGAAAAGAACATAGAGCAATTTCTTGTGGAAAATGTCAGAAAATATATCAGCCAAAGATAAACTAGCCTGAGGCCTCACGAATGGTATGATGCTTTTGTGTTGCAAGTTTGAAAACCAAGAATTCTGACTGTGTCAAAATCAAACTGATTACAGGTCAGAGGACTCTAAGACTATCACAGGATCACATGTAGCATTGTTCTTTCACTCCAGGTCAATGAAATCACGCTCTACAAGAAGGAGCTTTCAGGCTCCCATGGTATATTCCTTAAGACAGAACAAAAACAAGGATGATTTGTCACAGGGCTCCTCCTCCTAGTATGAGTAAAATTAGGAAGGAAGACACACTTCCTGCAGTGTACTGATTATACCAAGTCTTCTCAATCTAGATCATTCTGGGAACTTGTGAAAACCTCCTTGAGATGGATATGAATTGTAAAAGTGACAGTATTATAACATTTCATTGAATTCAGTAAACCACAGAATCATTTCCATTTCAGTATAAAAACAACAACTGGCATTTCATGTTTATTTATTTTTCTTATAACTATTTTCTATAATATGCTTTTACAGGTACAGGGATTTGCCCCTCACTGTTTTCCTCCATATTATTACAATAGCACTGTGCCCTTCAGCAACAGTCACAAGTTCAACATTCTGCTATTTAAGTGTATCACGGCCTTGCAGGTGCAGACAATGTCACAAAGTCTAGTATCTTATTGTCAAAGTATATTTATTTAGCATTCCATTGGGAGTGCTCCTTTTATTTGGAAGTAGAAGTGCATACTACAACGTAACTTCACTTCTCAGTATGCTAATCTCCACTATACAGTTCATCTATGAGAATATATGTATATACATGTTTACCTAAATATTTATTTATCTTGTATTGTGCATGAAGGTTGCCTTATATCTGAGATACATAATATTGGTGCTTTTGGGATTGCCTATTTTACTGAGCATAATGATACCAGTTGGGACCACTTGTTGCAAATGGTAGAATTTCACTTTTTTAATGGCTGAGTAGTAGTTCATGGAGTAGATAGACCATGATTTCTTCATCAATGTCTCTTTCGACAGGTATCTGGGTTGTTTCCATGTCTGCACTATCGTGGCTTGTGTTGCTATAAATATAGGGTTGCAGGTCAAGTTCTCATGCAGATTTCATTTCATCTGTATATTTTCCCATTGAATTACTATGACCTGGCATACTACATCTATAATAACATTTATTCACAACACCCAAAATAGGGAAGTAGCTCCAAGTGTTGTCCATCAATAGATGAAAGTAGACACTAAATGTGCTGTTTATGAGTATATATAAACATATAATGGAATGTTATTTAGCCTTAAAAATGGAGATCCTGACACATGTTACAACACAGATGGACATTCAGGACATCACACTAAGACAGTCACAAGCGAGATGCTGCGGCATGACCCCATCTGAAGGAGACCCTTAAATTAGTCAAGTTGGAAGAAGAGTCCAGGGCCTAGGAGAAGGGGAAAGTCAAGAGTCATTTACTGGGTACAATAACAGTTTTGCAGGATGAAAAAGATCCCAACTAGTTGCAGAACCATGTAAATGTGCTTAAAACTACTGAACTGCATACTTAACAAAGGACTAAAGGTGTATGTTACAATCACCAAAAACCAAGAAAAGGCACAAAAAAACAAATCCTTACTACTCACATTGTTAACTGTAAATCCTGAAAGACAGCATTTCACAAATTGGGGACAAATGGTGGACAGGGACACACAAATGTCCTACAGATGGCAGAACTTTGGAGTTTTACTATGCTACTCTTTGCCGAATCGAGCAAGAGGAAAACAGCATGACAATCAGTAAGTGCTCAAGAAATGACACTGCAAGAGCAGTGTAGTCAGCTGCTCACTCCATTTCTTACTACAGTAGAGGGCTGTTTTCTCCATGCTGGCTTTGCTCTTTTTCAGACTTCTTTATCATTCAGATCTGTGAGACCATAGTGCTTCCAAAGAGTCACAGGACAGGAGAAGGGGTGGGAAGCTTCAGCATAGCAGCAAGCACTAGTGGGGAGGCAAGGGGAAGGAGGAGCAGAAAACCCAGTGTGTGTGCATCAGTGTTAGAACATGTGTAAGAAGAACAGTACAACTGAATGGAGCACGGGACTCAGAGGGACACAGGCTAAACTCAGAACCCAGACGTCTCACAATCATCTCCTGATTCTCCAAGGATTTTCCTACCGCTAAGTGTAACAAATAAATAACAAATTATTTCAGTACAAAAACATCTAGATCGGTCTCTACATGGGGTTTCCTGAGCTAATTCATTTCTGTATTAAATTCACAGGATTGTTACACTCTCCTCTAAAGCTTCGCTTGACAGTTCACGCTGAGCAAAAATGGAAAGAAGTCCAGGCAGAAGGAAAACTAAAGACCTTGTAATCAAATCCTCCACAAACAACTCAAGGACTAACGAATGTAACTAGTTAGCATCTCATGATCACAAAGCAAGCAAAAAACTAGAAACATGACAGAATTCGTGTGTATACTATTTGCTTAGCAAGTCAGAAACCACTCACTGAAGTGGCCAGTTTTAACACCATCACAGGCTTCTCCAGGGGCTTGGAGTAAGGGGTGGTGGGAAGACTCTGAAGATTACCATTTTAAACACAAAAGCAAGAAACAAAACACTATAGAGAATTCTCTGAATTAAAAAGGCTCTTGAAGGTTTAATATCATGGCTTAACTACTACACAGATCAAAAGTTCAGGGTACTAGTTTATGTTAAACATTTGTAGTAAAGCAATCACCAAGTTGACTACGAAAGCAGTACTCACAGCCAAGTGTAAAGGGCTTATTGTTGCTCTATTATCCAAATCACTTAGCATATCTGTCCCCGAGGTTTCCATTAGCTGAAAAAAGAAGAAACATTTTAAATGTTATTAAATGAGGCTTTGAGATAGAATAGAATAATGTTCTCCCCCCTCCTCAAAGCTACTTCAAAGTACAAGCTGGTACCTCTGCAAGCCCAGCGAGCAGGACTGAGGGAGCATGTCAAGGAACACAGCATGGCTCAAGAAGCCAGAAGCTAGGAGGAGATGCCATGGACCTCTCACCGAGTGAGCACCTCCACTCTTTCCTTATACACAATCTCCGACTATCTTTGTTCCCGTGACCAAGTAAAAATATCTTCGGTTCTATATAAACCAAAGAAATAAATACAGTATTCTGAACGGTAGGAAGAATCAGCGAATACTTACAACATCTAACGGAGTTTCACTTGCAATCTGAAATAAAAGTTGAAAGAAAATATTTACTCATGTAGGACTTTGTTAATTTTTAACCTATATTGCTTTTTTCGCCAAAACACTAAGTCTTAAAATCACACCCACTTTTTTTTAAAGGTATATTTATTTTTATTATAAAGGCAGATCTACAGAGAGAAGGAGAGACACAAAGAAAGCTCTTCCATTCCATCTGCTGGTTCACTCCCCAAGTGACCACAATGGCCAGAATTGAGTTGATCTTAAGCCAGAAGCCAGGGGCCTCTTCAGGGTCTCCCACAAGGTCCCAAGGGCCGTCCTCTGCTGCCTTCCCAGGCTACAAGCAGAGAGCTGGATGTGAAGTGGAGCAGCTGGGACACGAACTGGCATCCATATGGGATCCTGGTGGTTGCAAGGCAAGGACTTAGCCACTAGGCTATTGTGCCAGACCCATACCTATTTTCTTTTAACTTTCTCTTTTAAGAGAAGCAGAATTTAATAATAATAAGTCTAAATAAAGGAAATAAAACCTGAAGCATCACTTATATACTTCAGCATTTTTAACTGATCACTTTCCTTTTGGTCTGGGAAAGTGGAATGTTCTACATTGAAATCCTGCTTGAAATCAAAGACTTCCTCGTAACAGTACAGCTCTGGGACAGGTGACCTTCGTGACACTGAAGTCACCACGTGTAACGTCTGATCTGCCTCAGGTGCAGCTTCCTGCTTGGCAGGCAGCAGCTCAGGGCTCAGGTAGTTGGCCTCTGCCGAATGCAGTGCTGAGCTCTGCACCTGACCTGACCTCACCCTCACGGCTGCAGGCATTGAGTGAACCGGCAACAACAGACAAAACAAAACAAAACACACAGAAATAAAACAAAGCAAACAAACAAGTCTTTTTTTTTTTTTTTTAAATTATGAAATGAACGGCCCCATCAGAACTAATGGGTGGAATCTTCCACTTACTGGAACATTTCTTTCTCATATAAGACATGGTTATAATTTAGAAATTCATAGAAAACATTCATTTAAGGGAGAAGAAATGCTACAGACAAACACACGGGGCGGTGTAAGGGACGAGGCTCCAAGCAGCCCTTTTTAGACATTTCCTTTTCTCCCTTGCTATCTAAAATGGAAGCGGGCAGGAGGTCTATGACTCAGGCGAGCACTGATTTAAGAGGTATACAGATTCTACAGCTGTCAAAAAATGAAAGAAAATTTGTTTCTGGATACATGTTTTCACATATCTGTTATAACACAGACTATAAACTCATATTATTTTCTTCCACAGGAATTCAGGAATCTTACCAGTTGAAGACATAGACGGTGACCATAAGCAGCTGAATAATGAACCGCATTGTAGCCTTGCTTGTCCCGGATCCCTGGATTGGCATCATTTCTTAGTAAATATTCCAGGCACCTACACACAGTAATAGTAATAACACAGTGAAAATTTCTAAATTTTTAATTTTAAAAACAACCAAAACCAAGACTGAAGTTAAAAACATTTTCTTATATTTGAATAATTTACCAGCCATAAATATAGTTATTCTATAAACATCTATACTTTGTAACACTGACTGAAGTACCATAAAGATGCAAATGAAATATTAATAAAATATTCATTTCTTCATTCAAAGTGGGAGCCTGGAAGTCTCACGATTACTGAATAAACTCACAGACGTGGTGAGCAGTAACTGTTGGCAATACTACTGCTTATCTACATAAAACATACAGCAAATATTTCTCATCAGGAAGATCAAAAAAGTTAAGTTTAAACCCATTCCCAAGAATCCCAGGGGAGAAGTCCATGACGTTAAGGGGCAGGGCCAACCAGTGCAGACGCACAGACGCACGGACGCGCAGGCGCACAGAAGGGGAGCACAGGCTGGCTGTTATGAGATTCCACTCCTCTTAAAAAGGATTTATTTTATATATTTCAAAGGCAAAGACTGATACAACGATACACTTGTTCCATTTCTACGCTACTAAAATATGAGGTCACAATTTGTTACAAGAAAATTTTGTTATGGTGGCAGAAAAGGGTACTGGAGTAGAAATGAAGATTTTCTTTTAGTTTTATGGTAAAATGGCCTCTAATTCTATTTATTCACTTAATAAAGTGGGGGTGCACTAAATAATCTATAAAGTCCATTCATGTTCAAATTCCATATACAGTAATTTGTCTTGCATTCTGATAAACCTACCTAAATATTAATGGAAAACAATCAAATATTCCTTGCTAAAAATTCAAGTTCCCAGGGTAGGTCTTTTGGAACATCCGCATGCTGTATTAGCATGCCCATCTTTCAGTATCATCCCTTCTTTACTGCTAAATTGCCTAAAACTCTTTATATCTCTTAGGATTTTACAATTCTCATTCATGAAAGCCTCAATGTTACCTACTATGAACAAACAGAACACAGGAAGCTATGCCTACCGACACTTGAATTCAGGGATATTGTATCAATGGTACAAACTATTTTAAGATAACGACCACTGATACATGAGCACAGAAGAAATGATTTATTTAAGGAAAGCGAACAAGTAGGTTTAAGTTCATGCTTACTTTCTAAAGTAGGAAAATATGTTCTTACAAATTTTGTGACCACTTTCAAGTTTATAGCAATAAATGATTTCAAATCATATAAATATTCCATTAAGTATTTCTTCTACATGAATATTACGAAGCACCACTCATTCTTTTAGTCTCATTCATGATGGGCAAACATTCACCAGCTCTGTTACTGAATTGCATTTTTGGAATTCAGTTTACAAGGACTGCCAGCAAGCCTGTGCACTACCTCCAAAGGATACTTTCATTCCAATCTCTACCTAAACCTCTACTGACACTGCCCCTTCTCTGCTCTCTCCCTTCCTCATACAGCCAAGGCGGGAAAGCATGACATGGTATTAAGGTGTTCTTTTGTCAGGAGGACGAGAATGTATCTTCATCTTTCTTCACCAGATTAGTCATAAAAACAGCGTGTTTCATAGAACGAACAGTAACAATGATGCTTTATGAATGATTAAATCATTTAATAATAATTATGTAAGATATAAATCACAATTCAGCTGAATATTATTTAATAATAATTACGTATAATTTAAAAACTAATTTGCTTCCAAAACTGGAGAGCCAGAGAAAGATAAAAATGACAATGCTACCAGAAGCCAACCTGCATTAGCACAACCATGCTGTGCCCCCCGCATGGTACTTACTTGCCATCTGTGTCTGATGTCGCTGCATAGTGCAGGGGCGTGCAGCCTCTCTCATCCAGGTCATTCACACTTGCCCCTGACCCCACAAGAGCAAACAGGCACTGGTAATTGCAGTTGGCAGCTGCGTAGTGCAGTGGAGACCTTTTATGCGCAAGGCAATAAAAGACAAAAGCCAGGACATGCACTAGTGAACAAGAGCACAGATGACCCTCACTCCCACCCAGTGTCTGCACTGCATCACTAGGAGCCTCAGGCTCGATTCTGTCATTCCTGCATCTTTGAAGGGCGGAACACAAAGTTGGAAAGACACAGTAAGATGGCACAGACTTTTAAAATAGGAAGTAAGACTGAAACACAAACTATTTCATGGCTGTCAGGATTTAAACTGATTACAATTTCACATACTCAGAAGCTTACTTTGATTTTAACAAAGCGTCCCTATACTAATAAAAATGACAGTACAAAAGGCACTATCATGTGTCAGAAGAGGAACAAAGAGGAAAAAATAGAAGCATTAAATAATTATCCTTGTTTATACCAACTGCATGACACAGCTCCAGAGTAACATCAAATTTTTCAAGCAATAACAGTTATGAAGACTTCACTATCAAAATAACTTTTAATTTCTAAATGTGAGTGTAACTCATGTCTTCCTGATCACTCAGATGAAATAACATTACTGACTTGAGGACTTGAAGTTGGCTTACGTTATGATTCCATGACTTCATTAAAAAAATATTAAGCAGCAAAAACAATAAATTTAGTTATGGTATAATGTTTCATAAAATATTTATACAGTGAGATAATATAACACTATTTTGTGTCATTGGATAATACAAATATCAGAATGACTTTTTAAAACAAGCATGCACGGAGCCCTGAATGAATCTTAGGCTTCTAAATACAGAATACACTTCAGAAGCCCTCTCTGCTATCTGAAATATAGAATGTAAAAAATGCGATAAATTAACTAATGTGAATGTGATTGAAGTATAACTATAAAAATAAATTATCTATGAAAATATTGAAAATTTGACTTGGTGGGCCATAAGTTTCATCGGCAGACTTTTGAGGGTGAACTGCTCCCCAAAGTTATTCGCTTCTTTTGTTCTGGTCATTTCCGATTTCCTACCACACTTAAGTCTTTCTACATCTCTTCTGACACATTTACATGCCCACACACTCCTTCTAATATACGGCCTCCCCTGTCATATGCTTGCATGTGTACAATTCCCAAACTCTTGACATGTAACTACACTTACTGTCACACCTATTTTTCAAAGCAGGTCAAACTGCCTTCAGCACTTTCCCATACAGTGATAATCCACTCTGTTTTACCAATTTCTATCCTAAGTAACTTAATAAATAATAGTATTTTAATTACAACAATCATAAATGTTAGTATAACTGAAGCCCATCTAAATTGGTGACAGTGAGCACTGGCTGACTGCAAAGAAACTGCCATATCACACACATATTTGAGTGTGAAATTTGTATGTAAGAGGAGAAAAGAAAATGTTTATGTTCATCATCTACTTCCTCCCTGTCCCAGCTTTGTAACTAGAGGTGGATAGCAGACTCTCACAAAGGAATTCCCAGGAGGAAGGGAATTCCAGTACTACTACCTTCTGGGTATTATGAGTTTCTTGAAGGAACACAGGTACCACTGGGTTTATATTTCTATAGCTATAAATATAGGAAGCGAAGATGCGGTATCAGATAGCACAGCGGAACACCTGAAGGAGGTAAGGCTGTGGCTGGCAACCTGGGGCTGTGGCCAAGATCCAAACAGAGGAACAAAGTGGTGAGAATGACTCAAGTCCCTGACACTAGCCGGGTGAACACAGGAGAAAAGATGCTGACCAGCTCAATCTATTCTCTAAAATCAAATTAGGCTCAACAGAGGAACTGTATAATATCCTACCTCCCAAATTTGTCCTTTTTGTTGAAGTCTGCACCAGTATTCAGCAGAAGGTTTAGGCACTCCAAATTCCTATTCAAGGAGAATACAGTTTGAAAAACTTAGTTTTCAAAGATTTTTAAAACAAAATTGGCAAGTTTAATAAGTACAACAGATGCAGTTCTCGGCTCCTGGTTCAGTCTGACCCTCCCTGCTGTTGCAGTCAATGACAGATCTCTATCACTCTGAATTTCATATAAATAAGTCTTCAAAAAAAAAAAAAAGACAATGCATTTTTCCTGAGCTTTTTGAAACACCACATTTCATACTGGCACATAACGATAATGAATGAATCATGTTGTCTTTTTTAAAAGGAAGATTATGTTGTAAAACAGATTTAGAAGACATTTAGGGAACAATGAATATACAATGGTTTAAACTGGAGTTTAAATATTCACTTAAATCAAGTATTAATTTAAACTGGGTTAAAAAGCAGATCTGAGAACATGACAATGTTCTATTCTAATCAGCTTTACTTTCTCCTAAACTAGGATTGTTTACTCTGCTGTCACTTCAGGTGAGAAACAGTACAATACACATGCAGGCGTTACTGTAACATGAACTTACTATGCTATGATGGAAACTTTAGCTGCCTTGAGCTCAGACATGCAGGACTCTCACCTCTCTGTAGGCAAGTTATAGGAATTTAGGTCATGACTGGGAAAGGGGTCTTCTATGACGCTGGGAGAACATGGAAGCCACTCGGACAACCAAAACCCATCTCTACAACTTACACTGGTCTGGTGGTATTCTTCGTTTAGAGCAATAAACCTCTGAAACCACTGGGAATTTTTAAGGGTTATCATAAGGGACTTCTAAGGACTGTCATAAACAGTAACATTCTTGGAAAATATCCTTGATATCCTTTTGATAAATCACGAATGAAATGGATTTTTACAAATCTAAATTGCTTTACATTGGTAGCATCCCTTCCACAAAGAGTTTTAGTTGAAATTTGTTGTTTAGTCAAACCAAGATTTTGTTTCCCCTAGGAGTAGTGGTACTTTCTAAAACTTGGTCACAAATCTTTTTATCTCAAAGTTTCTTCTTTCTATTGAAATAAAAAAATATATCAACACGATTTTCCTGAAAATATGTTTTAAAAAACCTGGAGCAGTGGTAACAGAGTAGTCCAAATATGCTCTTCCATTTGGGTGCCAGTAACCCATTTATGAGTCCTCACTGCCACCTCCCTGTGTCTGCACTGTGGGAAGTGGGAATGAGTAGCTGGAGCCAGGAAAGGAATCCAGGTGCTCCAATTCGAGATGCGTCTTAACTATATACAACTATGAAACTTCCTATGTGTGTATGTCTGATATACATATACAGAAAATCAGTTCATTATTCTTTCATTCATTCAGGCAGTAGTTTCCTTATGGAAAGCAATTTTCCCTTTGTAGCTTTATTCTCTCTCCAACTCATTACCTATGACTTAGTTTGGAAAAAAAAGGCAATAGAAATTTTTGCTATTCTATATTTTCTTTAATGAAACTATTCATGTTGCCATTTGTTTTCTATTTTGTGAACAGAAACAAATACTGTCATGAATCGATGTTTTTTCTTCTTTACGAAACAAAGATATGATTGACATACCCTCCAGCTGCAGCTGCATGTAGACAGGTCCTGCCAAAATCATCTGGAGTATCTATATCAAATCCTATAAAAATGAATATATCTCTTCTATTATGAGACTATTACAAATGATTACTTTAAAATATTATGCTAACATTTGCATTTTTCCCCCAATACCAAACAACACTATGAGTTCTAGATATACAAAATGATTGATGAAAAAAATATATTAATAATGTACAGTGCTACAGAAATATTACCATTAATAGACTAGGGTTTTGGCCAAATCTAGAATGCTTGCTTACAAGGCCAAGGAGAAGAATGAAATACTACTTGGCAATAAAATTAAGTGCTGACACTGATACACGAATGACTGTTGTGAAAATATGCTAAATGATAGAAGCCAGTCACAAAGACTTTATTTTGGATAATTCCATTTATACCAGGGGTGGAGAATATATAATGCCTATGAAAAATTTGATCTGGTCCTCCCAGGCAAAAAAAAAAAATGGAACTTGAAATGCAATAAGGCTATATAGCAGTCTAATTTTTAAGTTGGTAATTTGTATGGTCTGTGAATGATGTTACAAAACATCCAAATGCTCCTAGGAAGAAAATAGGTTCCCCACCCCTGATTTATATGAACTGTTCAGCACAGGCAAATTTAGACAAAAAGCGGATTAACTGTTTAGGGCTGGCTAACTGACAAAGGTTCTTCTTTCACAGGGAATGATGATGTTTTAAAACAGAACAATGGTTAAATAATTCCATGAATATATTAGAAATACTGAACTGTACACTTCAGATGGATGACTGGTATACTACGTGAATTGTATTTCAATAGAACTGTTAAAAAGTAATGGAAAATGAGTATGTGAATACTTGTGGACACATATACACTTGAAAAAAAAAGAATTAACTCACTTAAAAAATATCATTAAGAAAAACTCAGATGTATCTGTCTCACTCCATAAGTGAATTTTCACTGAAATGTTCTAATTCTTCCAGTAAACACATGAGTATAAATATATAAAAATTTTTCAACTTTGTTAACACTATGAGAAAGAGAATCATTTAAAATAAATTAAGTCTTATTTTTATCTTCAGTAATTCTTACATTTATATAAAGATACTAATCTTACTACGTTAAACTACCAACCAGATACTAAATCATTTTGTAAACCAAGAAGGTATAGTTAAATGGCTCTTAAATAAAAACCAGGACCAATAAGACGCTGAAATAAAGACATTTTGCTTCCAAATATATCCAAGATAACCACCATCAATAGGACCTGTTCTTGAAATACTGCACACTCCACTTTCCAATACAGAGATCACTAAAAATACAAAACATTTCCCAGAGCTTAAGAGAAAACTAATTTATAGAATCATTTACAGAAACAACACAACATTTTCTGAGAGGTTAATAAATTATCTTGTCTATGTAATTCTGTGAAATTAGCATAAAGAGGTTGTTTTAAAATTTTAGGGAGATTTAAAAAAAAAAAAAAGGAAGCATAAAACAAAAGAAAAAATCCAAATCCACACAGTGGCCTATAAAGGTTCAGCTCACCTGAAGAAAGAAGCTTCCTGCAGCAATCTGAAAAACCACTTAAGGCTGCCAAATGGAGGGGGAACATTCCATGGATGCCACGCCTACAGTGAACAGGACAGAAGCTTCATTACGATACATGTATGTAAAGACATGCATACTAAATAAGTTACTGAAAGAGAATTAAATGCATCAAAATCCATAACACTGGATAATAATTTTGCCGGATCTTAAACAGAAGATGGGCACTACTTATCACTTAGCTACTGTTCAATAACAAACAGGGATTTTAACTTTTGCATTATCATTATTACAGGTTTTATTCTTGGGGCTATCCTAGGCACATTGGACACTGTGAGCATTTCTCAGCCACTCACACAGTGAGTGAGAGAAATGGGCTAAAAATACTCCATGCTGGCTTAACAAATAAAATCCTATTTAAGCATTCTAATCTACCACACAGCCGATACAAAATTAGTTTAAAAATTAGTACAATATTAAAGACAAAATCTGCATTTCCACTTCAGCCATCTAGAAAAACTGCAGCCTACTTCCCCTTGCCTCCCTGCGGCGTGGGCATCACCTTGACGTGCACTTACTTTGCCGTGTCAGCACCACTTGTGATCAGAGTGTTGATGAGCAGCTCGTGGCCGTAGCGTGCCGCTATGTGCAAAGGGGTGTTTCCGTTCTTATCCTCACAGTCGATCACAGCGCCTGATACAGGACAGACAGTCACTCAACTACATCCCATCCTGCCAAAGCTATTACACAGAAGGTGACATACAGTGCTGTTCAAGCACTAATTCCAACCTGATTCCACTCAAATTATACTTATCAGGCCACCAATTTTACACTAAAAACAGTTCTGGGAACTAAGTCAAGGATTTTAATACAGTATTTTAAATGTATTAAAATGTATGGTTGACAAAGTTGGAAACCAACGTAACTCCACAACAAAATTAAACACACGTCCTTATGGCAAGACTTCCTGGAGATTTATTATTCACATTTTGTGTGTTAATAAGACATGCACACAATGCTTCAAAATCACTTGGTCATGAATTTATTCCTGTTTCCTCATACAAAGCCACTGCCACTGCGAACTTTAAAGACTATTAACAATTCCTTGGAACATGGATGGAGAAACACTGCTTTAAGTGTTCACTATACCTAAAAGTTCTTTATATTTAAAATTTAGTTTGTCTAGTATAAATTAAAACACAAAAGAATGTAAGTTCAGAAGAAAATCCTAAAAATCTTATACAACATGCAAAATACTCAAAAGAGGAAAATAATAAAATACAAGAGTATATATATTAATACAGAATATGAATATGAGAAAGCCAGTTCTCTAATTGGCAGCACTGGAAAAAAGAGTCAATATAAGCTGTTAGGGAAACAAAACTTACGATTCAAGGAAAGAAAGCAAAAATGAATAGAAAACTATGAAAGAAACATATGGAGGATGTTTTATACTCTAATATTTGATTTTCATGGATGTGAAATCAAATATTAAACATATACAGACTGTTACTGAATACCACTTATACTGTGGATGTTTTTACTACAGGTAAGAAATAAAAACAAACAGAAATACTTTTTACCACTCTGGATAATGGTCTGTGACCTGGAGAATCTACCGTGGAGGGCAGTCATGTGCAGAGGGGTTTTTCCATCTTTACTCTGAAATAATGGAACAAAATACTTTTAAAATTTCTCTACTATACACACTATAAATATTAGACAGCTCATTTTAGTTTGAATATTCTGTTTCTTTACTTACCGTGACTTACTCACTAAACCATGAGAGTCAAGTATTCTGAACTAATTATTTCAGAAAGTAAATCAAAAGTACAAATATACAGAATACTTTATGCCCACAATGTTACCAAGCTACCTGTGGTCTGTACAGGACAACTCAGTATCATTCTATGTGTGGGGAAACTGAGGCAAACGCACACTGCATGATTTAAAAAGATCATTAGCTAGGAGGTATTTCCCAACTCAGATATACAATTTGATACTGTTTCAGCACTTTCCAGTCCAAGAAACCCCAACTCTTCCTTGTTCCCAGTCAACTAGTGAAAACTGACTATGAAAATTTCAGCATTATAATTCATTTGAATACTGTACATACTGATTTAGAATTAGTATTACTGTTCAATTACTTAAAATAAGTCAGCCTGGCTGTTTCTTCTCTAAAGCCTTCTGGTTAAACAAAACACACAAAGAAAATAGTGTTTCGTAGCGTTTAGTCCCCTAATAACAAGCAGCACATCTTCTGTGTATGAAATATGACTAGTGTCCGGAATTTATACTAACACTATGCAACGCATATCTCCTTAAGCAAGATTATAGTGGCTAGGTATTTGATTTCATGCTGTCATATGAATATCATGAGCCAAGTCGTTACTGATGTGGCAAGGAATATTAAAGAATTCCTAATCTCTTGGAAGTGGTGTGAGGAGGGAAGGGAAAAATACCACGTACACAGGCTTTGCATCAGAACAGCCTAAGCACGGACGTTAGTCCTGCTGCTCACCGCCCTGCCTGAGCTCTGCGCTTGCGATTCTTCAACTGAAAATGGGCACGATTTTTATCTACACTTTGTAGATATGTTTACAGAATAAATATAATCACCTTTGTGAAAAATCCCTACTGCACACTAGTACCTTCAAAATACAGACTACCAGTTTACTTGGTGTTTTGTAATGTGCCACTTGGCATCTGAATCAAAGCAAAAAGCACAGATGCATTTTAACAAGATTCTGGTTGTGTCTTTTCAAAATGTCCCCTAAATGGCGTATATTCATTTTTAATGTTAACTTTTTAAATAGCAATTTTTAAACAAATATAATGTATATCATCATATATGTTTTCCCACGATGCTTAACACAAATATATTACCTACAAATGTTTTATAATAAATTGGCCTAAAAAACTGAAAAGATACAAAAAATTAGGCTGTGAACTTTGTTTTAGATGATTTCAAAATTTGTCAAGATGATTTCAAAATTTCTATTGGTAGGCCTTTAAGGAGAAACTTTTTCCTCTACACCAAATTTATATCATGTTTTTGTAGACCAGGATTATCCAAAAAGCTGGAATTTTAAAAATTAAAATAAATACAACAAATTTATCATTAATACATTTTAAGTAATTAAACTATTAAATAGCAGGTGATTTAAGTGAGAAGTAAAAACTCTAAATGTGTATTTCAGTGTATTAAAAATAGTCATTCTAACCCTAGACATAATAATTCAAAAACATTTTTTTCAATATCCCAACGCCCTTTCTTCTATGGATATGATACGAATAATTTTTTCCTTTAGCTGGAAGGAGGCAATTTAAAGCAATGACCTCGTTACAGACAGACATACTGCTGAACTCTCAAAGTAGGGAAACGGCAACATTATAGGATTCACTGAAGTCAGATGAGAAAGTGAACTTTTTCTACCAAGGTGAAAGACACTGGCGTACTAGAACCTACAGAAACAGGCCAATCTGGCGTAATTAAGTGTCTCTAAGCGACACTGTAAGCTTAAATGTCTTCACTGATCTTAAATGCCTCACCTTGGCTTGTCTTTATACCACACGCTATCACTTAGTGAGCACTTCAAGGATCAACTAGTAAATTAATACAGCAACAATCAAAAAAAGCATTTTGGAAAATTCGAACTGATGAATAATATAAAATAGCTACGTTGGCTACATGCGCTTCCACAGTTACACCGAGGTACATTTGTCTGGCTTCAGATTTTTCACTTATTTCTAAAATCTAAATGGTTCTTGAAAATAACTGTCAACCCACCCCCAAAAAATCCCCAACAGTAACTATCCCTCACATGTAACGCTTCCCACTGCTGCTTCCCAGCACTAACATTTTAATGTGGCCTTTATTAAATCTCCATCAAATCATCTGATTTTTTAAAAAGATTTATTTATTTTTATTTGGAAGGCAGATTTGACAGAGAAGGTCTTTCATCTGCTGGTTCACTCCCCGAATGCTTACAACAGCTAGAGCTGAGCTGACTGGAAGCTGGGAGTCAGGCGCTTCTTCTGCATCTCCTATGTGGGTGCAGGGTCCCAAGGAGTTGGGCCATTCTCTGTTGCCTTCCCTGGCCATAAGGATAGGAACGGGAGCAGATGTGACAGAACTGGTGCCCATATGGGATGTTGGCACCATATGGATTAACCTGGTGGAGGATTAACCTGCTATATCACCTCGCTGAAACCTCCAACCTTGATGCTTTTTTAAAAAGTAATCCAACATCATTGCATATCACTTCTAAACATATCAGTGTGTATACAATTTCCATCTAGGTGAAAATTCATACAATGAAGTATACAAATCTTAAAACTTACCAGCTTATGAGCTGACAAATATTTATATAATACCAAAACCTATCAAAAAGATTACCATAACTGTATTTCACCAGCTAATATCTGTTTCCAAGTTGATCTCCGGACTTCTCCCCTCTTGAGGCTACAACTGTTCTGATATTTATTCACCTACACATTTAGAACCCTGTTTTAATAGAATTTTGTTATGTTCTAGAACTTTACATCAATGGGAACAGTGCACATACTCTGGAAGTTTCCCTCAGCATACCATTTTATAATTCATGTTCTTCAGCCTGCCCTTGTTAATGCTAAATGATGTAAACTACAGATATTATTTCAGATACTACTAAATACTGTGGATATTTCCATCTCCTACCTTCATATTGACATCGGCACCATTGCCCACCAGAAGCTCTAGACACAGTGCTCCATGTGTTGAAGCAGCAGCGAAGTGCAAGGGAGTAAACCCTTTTTCATTCTTTTGATTTACGTTAGCACCACAGTCTATGAGTTCATTTACTACAACATCCTGTCCATTATAGCAGGCTACATGAAGAGGTGTATTTCCATAGGCATTTGGTTCATTCATCTGTTGGAAGAAATGTAAAGGTTAAAGCACCCCGGTAATTTTCACTGTGAGCTATTCTCAGCAATTCTGGTTACAACAAATTATGAAAGTGAGAACAGATGAATAATTACACAGCTGAGGCTTACAATTCTGAAGTTCTTTACAACGATACGCTAACAATAATTTTGAAGTTACAATGGGTTTTATACACTCTAGGAACATAACTCACATATTCAATGTCTACCATGACAAAACGGAATGATTTTAAGAGAGACACTTTAGGAAAACTTAAATCAAAATAACGCATTGAAAGATTAATTAATTAATCTCAGAGAAAGAGACAGAGAGCTCCTACCCACTACTTAAATACTTTTAACAGCTGGGACATGACCAGAGGCTGAGTGGGAGCCAGGAGCTGGCAACTCAATCCATGTCTCCCACATGGGCTCCCACAAACCAGAGACTTGGGCCTTCGCTGCTGTCTTCCAGCATCTGCACTGGAGAGGAGCAGGCCCTGGGAACGGAGCCTCCATGTGCAGCCTCCATGTGCAGGCACTCCATGTGCAGCACAGCATCTTAACTATTAGACTGAACTCCCATTCCATAAGTGCTTGTAAGAGGAACTTACCATACAATTAACTCTAAGGAATCATAAGAAAATGAATTTACAAACTGTACATTTTGAGATACTCAATAACATGCTTATTTGCAGTTTTTTCAGTCTGCATTGACAAAAGACTAAAGCTAGTCAGTAATATGATTTAAAGTGAGAGTTTTGGTTATGAGGTATAAGTGGACTTGGATAGGCAATCATTCAGTCAAATCATGCCTATATAATGGAGAAGTGAAAAGAATTCTGACAATGAACTTCAGGCAAGCATTCCTACCTGGCAACACTTCATGCACACGGTCACCAACTGATACTGGGACAGTTAGGCATTGTTTCACCAGGAAGGGACAATGGCAACTTTGTTTTCAGAATACTCCTTGACTCTACCCCATGTGTCTCTTCATTAGTTATCGTTTTTTTTTTTTTTAAAGATTTATTTTATTTTTATTGGAAAGGCGGATATACAGAGAGGAGAGACAGAGAGGAAGATCTTCCGTCCGATGATTCACTCCCCAAGTGAGCACAACGGCCGATGCTATGCTGATCCGAAGCCAGGAGCCTCTTCCTGGTCTCCCATGCGGTGCAGGGTCCCAAGGCTTTGGGCCGTCCTTGACTGCTTTCCTGGGCCACAGGCAGGGAGCTGGATGGGAAGCGGGGCCACTGGGACTAGAACCGGCGCCCATATGGGATCCCGGGCGTGCAAGGTGAGGATCTTAACCACTTGCGCCACTGCGCCAGGCCCCATTAGTTATCTTAATTTGCAACGTTCTACTATCCAATTAACCTTTTTTTTCTTAACATTTATTTATTTTTATTGCAAAGTGAGATATACAGAGAGAGAAGCAGAGACAGAGAGGAAGATAGTCCATCTGCTGGTTCACTCCCCAAGTGGCCACAACAGCTGGAGCTGGTCTGATCTGATCTGAAGCCAGAAGCCTAGAGCCTCTTCCAGGTCTCCCATGTGGGTGCAGGGTCCCAAAGCTTTGGGCTGTCCTTGACTGCTTTCCCAGGCCACAGGCAGAGAGCTGGATGGGAAGTGGGGTTGCCAGGATTAGAACTGGCGCCCATATGGGATCCTGGTGTGTACAATGCAAGGACTTTAGCCACTAAGCTACCATGCCGGGCCCTAGCAAACTGTTTTTATTGAGTTCTGTGAGTTCTTTTAGATCATTATTAGACCTGGAGATAGTTTCGGGAGCCTCCTCAAACTCAGTTAGTCAAAAGTGAGGGTGGCATTGTGGAGACACTATGCCCTGTTTTCTGAGATTAATGGCAATAGAAATTACAGGAAGCAAAAAGTAATACAACTGTAATCGAAATGATCTAGATTTTTGTCATCAGAATCTAGCACACACATGCAGAGTTTCTCCCTGTTAGCACCTAGAAAGAATCAACCTTGTGATTACCTGGATTTGGGACATCTGTAACCCACAACTCTGATTAAACCCTCTTGGTATTGGTCCTCTAGATTATGAATTTGTTACGAATTGTTGGAAATATAAAAAGCCACCACATTTGGAGGTCACTTACTAGAAAGAACACTCTGCCATCAGAATGTTATTTCACTTTGAATACAGTATGTGTGAAAATTATATAAAATGGACTGAAAGCAATGAGAAGAGACACTATTGTGGTATATACCTCAGGAGTCCACTGAGTTAAAATAAAACTTCATCCATTTTGCACTCTGTGGGTCAATATGTCTGAACGGTTACAAGTTCTCGTGCCGCCTACATTTTCAGCACTGACTTGTTGAAGGGCCCAGTGCTCCACAGGGCCATTAAGAGCTGTGTTATTCTCCCACCCCACCCCTTTTTATCTGTAGCTGGTCTCTTTCTAGCAGAGCTTCAACCTCTCTCCTGCTGGTAAACCATTCTGCAGAATGCTGAGTCTGTCAGAGCGGCATCTAGAGCAACAGAAAACACACTAAGAGAGAGAGGGGAAACACATGTGTTTAGGAATAAAGACAGCCTGGGAAAGCTGCAAGTATTCTTTGCCAGCTCAATTCAGGCATCATATACACCCAGATAAAGCAACATCCCTTAACCAGTAGACTACCAGATAAGAACATCTACACTTGGCATGAAAGAACCCTCTTGCTTTCTTGCCTAGCTCTTGTCAACATCTGTAGTATCACTGCTGCACAAAAATCTAGTCACTTAATCCATGTGTGCCTAGCTATAGTGAAATGGCCTGGAACGTGATGGGAAGGAAAACTTGGGGCAACCATTATTCATCGTTTGAATGTGCTTTATCTCGTCACATTCTGATTAAGTACCTTGAGCACAAATTAATGCACTAGATAGCATGTAATATAAACATGTGGTTAGAGTACAAAAACATTATCGTGTAAGATTTATCTTTTAAACTGTAACAATATAAAACACTGCATTATTTTATATTGCTCAACTTACATACTTACATCAACTCCAAGATCTAGAAGGTATTTGACTACGCTGATCATCCCACTAGAGGCTGCTGCATGAAGAGGTGTGTAAGATTTCTTATCTTTGCATGTCACTTCAGCTCCATGTGCCACAAGTAATTTCACTACATCAATGTGACCTGAAATATGTTCATGAATACGGTAAGAGATGAGCACATGGAAAACACTAAAATTAATCCTGAATATCTTTAATGAAAGGTAGAAATGAAAACTAGCTAGATAGTGTCATAAGTCAACCAGTAAATCATATTATAAATTAAGAAAAAAAATTTTAATGCAGGATAATTTGATAAATCTCAGTTGAGATAACTAATAAAACAATATATTCCACTATTTTATAATCCTGCCATGTATCATAATTTTTTGCCTACATCTTTCCCCCAAAACTGCCTTGGGCCCAGCGTGGTAACCTTGTGGCTAAAGTCCTTGCCTTGAACACACCGGGATCCCATATGGATGCTGGTTTTAATCCCGGCAGCCCTGCTTCCCATCCAGCTCCCTGCCTATGGCCTGGGAAAGCAGTCAAGGGCGGCCCAAAGCCTTGGGACCCTGCACTCACATGGGAGACCTGGAAGAGGCTCTAGGCTCCTGGCTTTGAACTGGCTCAGCTCTAGCCATTGTGGCCGCTTCGGGAGTGAACCAGCAGACAGAAGATCTTCCTGTCTCTGCTTCTCTTTATATCTCACTTTGCAATAAAAATAAATAAATCTTAAAAAAATAAACCCTGCCTTTTTAAGTAAATTCGTATGTTTTGAAGTTAGCTTTCTACATCACACATGATATTAGTTTATATTCTTTGCCCTATTTGCAATCTTTACCTACAAACCTGAAAATGAAGAATGTTAAGTCGTTAGAACACACAGCTAACATCTTTCTCTTTATTGGGTCTACACATCTCATTGATGAGTGCAGGATGTTACTCAGCTTTGTACTATGATTAACAACACATATCATTGGTTTGAAAATTAACATTTTTTAAAAATTTATTTGTATTGGAAAGTCAGATATATAGATAGGAGGAGAGACAGAGAGGAAGAGCCTCTGTTCGCTGACTCAGTCCCCAAGTGACCACAATGGCCAGAGCTGAGCCGATCTGAAGCCAGGAGCCCAGATCCTCTTCTGGGTCTCCCGTATTGATGCAGGGTCCCTAGGCCCTGGGCCATCCTTGACTGCTTTTCCAGGCTTCAAGCAGGGAGCTGGTTGGGAAGTGGGGCTGCCAGGATTAGAACTGGTGCCTATAAGGGATCCTGGTGTGTGCAAGGCAAGGACTTTAGCCACTAGGCTACCACACCAGGCCCAAAATGAACATTTTTAACACCAATCATTACTATAAAAGGCTGGCAAGAGGACTAAGTTCAGTAGTTGACACACTCAGGTTCAGGCAGCTTACATTAACTTGAATGTGGCTATTCACTGATGAGTCCCACATTAATGATGAAATGTTCTGACCCAGAATGATACTGCCACCAATGTTAGCAGAACTAGTCTTGGGTCCTAGTCACGCAAAGAGACTAGGAAAGAGAAAAAAATATTGGAACAATGGGAGAATCACAATTATTTCATAATGCTTTACTTATCAGACTAGATTATATAGTATGACCCCTTGACTAATTCCTTCCATCTCTCTTTGTTCTGAGATTTCTAGCTTCAGGCATGTCCACCCTGCTGCTGCTCCTTGGAGGCCCATGTCAGCTGCCAATGTACGTGGCATCTCAGTCATCTCTTTCCACGTGATACCTTAATGCTTGTAACACAGCAAGGCCGTCGTCAGACACTAGTACCTTTCTCATTCTTGTCATCCCCAGATTTATGGAGAAATACATTGTCCTTCCTTAGCTCAGATACTGTTACAGCAGACAACACAGATCAGGATAGGTAGTGAGGCCCACGAAGCACAGGATCTTTTCTCAGCACAGTCAACAGATCTGACCTGAAAAGTAATCCATTCTTGGCCCTCTGAGATACATTTACTTACTTTGGAAGCTCAATTAAGGGCAATCACAAAATACCTTGGTCTTCAATTATGTGATAACAGCTATTAGTTGAGTAACTTTTTTGGGAGATAAATGCCTGGAAACATTGTTTAACATGCAAAACTCTGAATGTTAGCTATATATTTACAAGTCACACAGAGTAGCTGTTTCTAAACTGTCTTAAAGAATGGACTAGTTTGCTTGCAATGAAAGAATCTCAACTAAACCTGAACTGTGGTTGCACAAGGTGGGGGGGAGCCCACCATCGGGGGAGGGATGGGAGAGGGGTGGCAGGGAATCCCAGTGCCTATATAGAACTGTGTCACATAATACAATGTAATTAAAAAATATATATAATAAAAAAAATTAAAAAAAAAAAAAGAGGCCAAATTTGGTCTGTCCTTGACTGCTTTCCCAGGTCACAAGCAGGGAGCTGGAGGGGAAGTGGAGCAGCCGGGAATCTCCGGCATGCAAGGTGAGGACTTTAGCCACTAGGCTACCATACCAGGGCCAACATTTTACAAACCTTTAAAGTTATCATATTTGGAATGAATCTTCACTGAAAACTGTGGGATGACTAGTACTAACAGAAGACACATCAGTTCACACGTGATTTTTTTTCCATAGAGGAGTCAAAAAGACCAGAAGCAGAATTATAATCCTTCGCAGGAAGAGACAAAAACCTGAGCTTTGTGACTCTGTTTAAAAAAACGTGTAAAATGAAGGTCTACATGCATGACTTTCTCCCCAGCGACAACCCAGCCATACAGGATCTTGTAACGAGCTACCCTTGCCCCACACTTAGGTCATCTACTCCCATCTGCAGGGTCTCAGATCCACAAACCAGCATTCTTACTCTACTGCTTTTGTACATTTAAAAATATTCTTAGATCGGCTGACATGGCTTTCGTGGCTCTTAAGAAGCAATGAATGTTTGTTGTTGCTGTGATCACAACCTTCTGTAGATTTTGCGCGGTCCATCCCAGGACTATTTTCCCCATGAGCTTTAATATTTTTAGAGCCACCCTGGGACCCTGTACTCGCGTGGGGGACCAGAAGAAGCTCCTGGCTCTGGATCGGCTCAGCACTGGCCTTTGTGGCCACTTGTGGAGTGAACCAGCGGATGGAAGACCTTGCTCCCTGTCTCTCCTTCTCTCTATAAATCTGCCTTTCCAATAAAAATAAATAAATCTTTTTTTAAAAGTAATGTACAATATATGCAGACCAGTTAAAATATACTCTGTTGAATCAAAAGATCGGTTTATTTTGGTGCAGAGAACTTAACTGATGCATGTAGGAGGTCTTCCTAAACTAATAAAATGCAAATGTAAAAATACTATGCTTAAATTTTACAGTTTTTATACCAAAATAAACTTGTCTTCTATTTTCATTGATGTTACATATACCAAATAGGATAATGCATATTAACAGTGTGTAGTTTTTTTTTTTTAAGATTTATTTATTGGAAAGTCAGATATACAGAGAGGAGGAGAGACAGAGAGGAAGATCTTCTGTCTGATGATTCACTCCCCAAGTGAGTGCAACGGCCGATGCTATGCCGATCCGAAGCCAGGATCCAGGAACTTCTTCCGGGTCTCCCACACTGATGCAGGGTCCCAAAGCCCTGGGCCGTCCTCGACAGCTTTCCCAGGCCACAGGCAGGGAGCTGGATGGGAAGTGGAGCTGCCGGGATTAGAACCGGTGCCCATATGGGATCCCGGGCGTGCAAGGCAAGGACCTTAACCACTGCGCCATCGTGCCAGGCCCAACAGTGTGTAGTTTATAGTAATTAATTCCTTCATGTATTTCATCATTCCTATACTAATATTCCCATAAACACAAGGGGAGGATAAGAGAAGAGACTTGTAGAAAACACCAATCTTCATCTTACACCCTAGCCTATGTGTGAGATATTTCCCCCTTTAAGGGTAAACATAATTTAAGAATTTTTATATAAACTACCCCCTGCACTGCTGCTGTAACAAGCTTCTCCAACTTCAGGGCTCAAAACAGGTGAACAAATTCAGATACAGTGACTGTTTCTTTCTACTAACACAAAAATAGCAGAAACTAAACTATATCTTTTCCTAGATACATAGTATATAGAGATACATAGTATACTAGATACATAGTATAAAAATTAATTTTAAAAGTACATACCCATATATGCTGCCCAGTGTATAGCACGCCTATCTTTTTTGTCAAAAGCATTAATATTGGCACCTCTTGATAAGAGTAATTTGACCATCTGGAATCAAAGTAAACATAAGTTTTCAGCAGAAAGAAGCACAATTATTCACAAGTATCCTGGAGCAGATGTCTCACCCGATTTTTTCTGCACTGTGTCTCTACAGCTGTAGAAAGGAGCTCGACTAAATATGACACGTTATTAACATGACATAAAATATGAAAAAAAGTTTCACTTTCATTGTTAGTGAAGTCAGGTATTAGTATCTTTCTAAAATGTCTCATTGGCACTTTCTTACAATTTTTCAAGCTGAAACCTGAAAAACTTAACAAGAAGTTTCTTTCCTACTCACAGTCTGAACTGTTACTGAAACAAGACACGCAAAGTGTATTCTCATCCCAGAAACGGCTACAACTGAAGCCCAGCTGCAGCTTGTCTGCTGTATGATTAAACCTGCAGGGCCACAGAGACAAGCTCACAGCGCTCCTGCAATTGTAACTATGCCTAAACAAATTTACAACAACATCTCAACTGAGAGACCATCCTGTATTTCAAACGGTAACATATCTTCTGACCTTAACTGTAGTGGAGGCACAGATTCTTTTTGCTGTACAACCAGATGAATAGTGAAAAGACCCCCCCCAGCCACTAACCCCCGCTCAGCCAGTATCTTCCCACCACGGACTCTCGGGAAGGCTACTCTACCTCTGATCGTCTGGGTCTGCAGGACACCGAAGGACTGGACAAGCTGCCTTGACACTGCCCCCTGCGTTCTCTTCCACAAAGTCTCTTACGCACACAGATGCCATTCTTCACTACAGTATCTAGCAGAGGCAATGCCTGCTGCGTAAGGTAACTAAAAACTATCTTATACTAAATGTTCTATGATTCTGTCACTAAAGAATGCTTCTGACAAAATGATGCTAATAAATTCAAAGAAACTAAGTTTTCTAAACTTTGCCTGCTTTGCACAGTACTAGTGGAGCAAATAATGCTATCATTGCTTTCCCAGATGACTTTTTTCCCACAAGCATAGACATTTCACATCGTATTAGACTCCACAGTGTTTGGTTCACGAGGTTGACTATAAAATTCAAGTGCAAGTGCCATGTATTCTAAATAAATTTTTATATTTGAAAAAGTTGTGTCACACAGAAAAAAGTGACAGTTTGCTAAAGGTAAACTTAGATAACACTGAGCAAGATAAATATTTTTGGTTACTTTTACCATGGACTAATGAGCGGCTGGCAAAGGCAAATTAATTAACAGCTTGGATGTGGAAGGAGTAAGGAGAATCCCTCTCGTTGAAGGCCACCTACCTCCCCGTGTCCGCTGAAAGCTGCATGGTGTAAGGCAGTTCTCCCGGCTCGGTCGGACACGTTCACATTACTCAGGAGCGGGACCAGCGCTTCAGCACACTTGACGGCTTTATTTGCAGCCGCGATGTGTAAAGGGGTTTGCCAATTTTTGTCTCGTGCATTCACATCTGCAGAATGCTTCAGAAGTACCTGAACTGCTTCCTAAATCATACGAAGATAAAAGTCAGAAAAGACAAATGAGTAGTTTCAGAAATCACATATATAAAATTACATAAGTAAAGTTTTGATAGAACTCACTATAAACAAGTCAGAATGTACCCAAGCAAACAAAGTATTCTGAACTTAAATATTCAGAGTCATACAGATGCTTTTAGATAAAACATTCTCTTTTCCCTACCTTCCTGTTAAAGATCTCACAATTCCTATTTTTTTTTTATTTTTTTTTTAAAGATTTATTTTTATTATTTTTTTATTGGAAAGGCGGATATACAGAGAGGAGAGACAGAGAGGAAGATCTTCCGTCCGATGATTCACTCCCCAAGTGAGCGCAACGGGTCAATACTATGCCGATCCGAAGCCAGGAGCCTCTTCCTGGTCTCCCACGCGGGTGCAGGGTCCCAAAGCTTTGGGCCGTCCTTGACTGCTTTCCCAGGCCACAGGCAGGGAGCTGGAAGGGAAGCGGGGCTGCCGGGATTAGAACCGGCGCCCATATGGGATCCCGGGCGTGCAAGGCGAGGACCTTTTAACCACTTGCGCCACCGCGCTGGGCCCCACAATTCCTATTAAAACATACAGAAAGAAATACTGCCAAATATGCTTCAAAAACATCTTATTTTTATATTTTTCCAGAGAGTAAGATATAACTCACTTGGTAAATGAGTATATGAAAATAAAATTAAAAACACACTATTTCTCAAAGTGTTACACAAACTGCATTTTACAAATGAAAAGCCTTGGGCCCAGTGTGGTGGCCTCGTGGCTAAAGTCCTCACCTTGAACACACGGGTATCCCATATGGGCACTGGTTCTAATCCTGGCAGCCCTGCTTCCTATCCAGCTCCCTGCCTGTGGACTTGAAAAGCACTGGAGGATGGCCCAAAGCCTTGGGACCTGCACCTGTGTGGGAAATCTAGAAGGGGCTCCTGGCTCCAGATAGGCTCAGCTCCAGCTGTTGCGGCTGCTTGGAGAATGAATCATCGGACAGAAGATCTGCCCCTCTGTCTCTCCTCCTCTCTGCATATCTGACTTTGCAATAAAAATAAATCTTTAAACAAAATAAAACAAAAAACACAAATGAAAAGCCTCTAGAATTTGGTTTGCAAAAGCAAACACAACGCAAAGGACGTCCATAACGTTGTGGGTTCCCTAGAGGGAAGCCTAGCCAAAGGCACCTTAACAGGTTACTCTCTAGAGCGCATGGAAAGACTTTACAACCACCTTCACGAAGTAAACTCATGGCAGGATTCCAAGGAATTCATTATGCCATCAACATAAAGCAATATAATAATCAGAACTAAATTTAGCAAAGTTTTATTCCTCACAGCGATGATCCTATATTTGGTTAAAAAGTGCCAAAGTAGCTACAAAAATGAATGAAAGGACTAGACCCAGAGCAGATTCTCCATTCCATTAATTGTAAGGCATACTCTACAAGTCCCTCCAAATTGGGGAGGGGAGTGGGTAACACTTGTACACCATTCTGTCCTCCAGTGCTGTAAGGCACAGTAAATGAACATTCATGACAAGTGTAAGAACATGTAAATGACACATACACAATCAAGGACTACGCAAATGCAATCATTCATGAAGCATCTATGGCTTTTGAAGATCTGAGATGAAGTGTAACACGTAAATATGGGGAACAGAACTGGTATCTGAAAGGTTGGCAAAAGACTCGCAGCCCGTGAAGGAAGTTCGCCTGCTAATCAGACATACAGAACCCGCTGACTCCCTGATCCCACTCTAGTTAATCACCAATTTAAAAAAAAATACCAACCTAACAGTGTACAAAGCACTTTCACTTACTTATAACCACAAAAAATGCAAATGCCCAAAAAAAGAAAAACAAACTGCGGTACATGTTTACAATGATACTACTTGTCTCTGGGAATTAAAAGTACTTGCTGGGATACTGGACTCGGCCTCAATTTCAGACATGCTGCTAACTCTTATGAAGACAAAGTGCTAAAGAGAGAGGGTATTTCCACTCCTCTGGACAGCAGACCACAGACCAGCTTTATCCACCTGTGTGTTCGCTGCCAGGGGAAGGTAGCTGTTCCCTCTCTTCTATTCCACCAATCACAAACCTGATTAGGTTAAAAATTGTGTTTCCTGGGAGGAATCTAGCATTACTACACTGCTTCTTAAAATGCAGATATTCCTTCCTCACACAAAATAGTCAAATAACCTTAATACTCAATAACTAATTTATTCAGGGAAAGTTTTGTACAGCAGTTATGTACCACTTTGGATGCCTGTACCCACTATGGGAGTTCCTGGGATCCAGTCCCAACTCTGCTTCCATTTTGGCTTCCTGCTAATCTGTGTCCTATCAGACAGTAAAAGATGGGCCAATCACTTGAATCCATGACTCCCACATGGGAGACTGAGACTGGACCCCAGGCTTTGCGTGCCCATCCTTGGCTGTTGCAGGCATCTGACAGGTCAATTAGAAGATGAAAAAAATTCCCTTTCAATTAAAAAAAATAGTTTTAAATCTTAAAAACAAAAACAAAAAACCTGACTGACTCAGAATTCATAGCCCTTACAGAAAAGCTGAACTGCATGTTCCCTTCCAAGAATGAAAGTCCCAAGTCAGAGGGGCATGCTGGAAGCACACAGTGCTGCTGCAGTGGTGGCTAAGTATTCAGCCTGAGGCGATCTCCAGCAACCTAGGTGCAGGGAAGGCAGGAAGCAATAAGGCACTAATGCATAGGGTAAATTACGCCTCCTATGCCTCAGTGTGTGTCCTTGGAATAACTTAAAACATAGTCACTCTCTCAGCTTCTCTCATAATCTCAAAAGCATAAACAAAGGGCTACTGAGAATCCTGCACTTGAAATCCCATCTGCTCCACCTCGCCTGCAGCCACAGTTACAGCTCCTGCTCCACGACTTAAGAAGAAGCTCCCTTTATTCTCAGGTTCATCAGAAGAGCCCAGCAAAGCTGATAATCCTAAACAGCCTCTAAAAATGTCAGTTTTTTTTGATGAACAAACCACACAGGACTACAAGCAAAAAGGAACTGTCCTTGTTTGAATGACACTTCAGCTATTTACAGACTATATTGTTACAGCTGATAAAATGTACAACGAAACATTTTTGACTGATCCCAGTGTTTTATGAAGTGATTATTTCAGATAATCAGAACATACTGACAGGATTACTTATGGATACTAATCAGTGGAACCTTGGTGACAAAAAAAGTCTCCTGAGGATTCTGTAAAGTTAAAAAGGAACTCCTCCAGGAGTGGGAGAAGTGTCCCACTCCGTGGCTTCCAATCTGCAGGAGGTTTTACATAAAAACAGGACAGATGAGTACTTAACTTGGTCAGTGCGTCCTAAGGACCAGTCTAGGTATTGCAGTTGTTTTCTTCTGAGAACGGAATACTTGGATATAGACTCACGGGTGATCTACTTAATGTTCTCACACACGATGTATGACTAAGAGATGTTTCATACCTCACTACAAGATGCAACTGCTCTGTGTAAAGGTGTCAACCATTTGCTGTCTTTGGCATTTACTCTAGCTCCTGCAACAAGAAGAAAAAAGTCAATTGAAATATTTACGTAAACTATTTTTTAACAAATCTCCTGAAATAAGTTTTATATACAGTCCAAATTGGATAAATAACATCTGAAAGTAGTTAATTTTTTTACACTTTGTGCTAACAAACTACCCTTAAAATTATAAAACTGTCCTTTGAAATTGCCGTAATTGTCCAATAAGGCATTATCTTTTTATCAAACAGTTTATATACAGGCTAGAAAAGCCACCTTTATACAGAGCATATCCAAGGCAAAAAAAAAAAAAAGACATCATTTTTGATATGTGTTTAAAAACTCAAATACTTAAGGAAATGATAATACTAAAGCTAAAATGTAAATTATTCCAGTGTTTTCTTTACACTTATTAATGAATGTATCATGTCATAAAATAATAACAACATCAGAATGGTTTCCAGTTATGATTAAAAACATATTATAGATATTATACAAATTGGATAGAATGGTTAACACCTAAGGAAAAAAATGAGAAACAAATGAGTCAGCCCTTGGATTACACCTTGATTTAAAGAAGAAATTTTAAAAATCAACTGATTCTTTAAAAATCAATAAGTCCTAAAATCATTAATCCTAGCAGAATATAAACAATATTTATTGTGACAAAAAGTATGTCATGTAATTTGAAATGAGGATCCATTTTCCAGATAAAATGCACTGATTTAGTACACAAATTCCAACCAAATAAAAGTAGCACACGGCAGGATCGCTGTAAGTACAGGGGAGTTAGCCCCGGGTTTTGGAAGTCTAGAGGAACTAATCAGCAGGTGCTTTCCTATGTAAATAACCCTAGATTTATACCCCAAATCCTAACCCACTCCTTATTCTGTAAATAATGAAGTATAGGCATAAACACAGCACAGCACAGCAGAGCCGGCCCTGGCGGAAGCAGGGCTACAGGTCTTAACTCGTGATGGTTATTTCCTGCGACACCTTTACAATACCAACCATCAGCCCCGCGTTGAATTTCTTCATCTATAGAAGTGCTCACTGTCCAGATATGTTAGAGATAGATGATAGCTGAGTTCTTTCTACGCAGTAACACTGAGGACCCTGAATCAATCACAAGCCAAGGAGATAGCCAGCAAGACAGAAAACCAGTCAGAGTGATAAATTCATGTACTCAATATTTGAGCAACTTTATGCCAGGCACTGTGCAGTCTAGTTAAAATACAGTCTCCCAGACCATAGTCAGGTCAATGTTTGAGTAGACAAAGCAAACATCTGAAATGTTTACCAACTGGAAGGTTAGAGTCCTAGTGATAGTGAATGGTCAGTATACAAACTAGGCTCTTTCATTCCACCATTCATCAGCTTCGAGGGTTCCAATAATCCCAGTGCCTCTTTCTATAGTCTTATATGTGCACCTCTGTATCTGCACAACAGAAGAGCGAGCCCTGGCAGACAAAAAGAGCAGAGAAAGCAAACTGTATCAACAAAGGAAAAGAAGAATGAAGTCTCATAAAGGGCCTTACGATGTTTGTAAAGGTATTAACGACAGAATATGACATGGCTGCAACAACACAACAAAAAAACTCGAGGAAGTCTTCTACATGCGATTTGAGACACAGAACGTTAAAAAGCAAGCCTTACTTTTATGCAGAAACAGGACTAAGTATTGATCATTGCTTTACATCACAAGGAAACTCTGGGAATGCTACCACACAAGAGTGGGTGTCTGTTGGTAGGGACGTGCACTAAAACTACGAGGGACTGGGGAAGGACTACCTAACCATCCAGTGTGTACTTTAAAACATGCACACGGTGAGTAACCTTACCCAGAAAATCCAAAAACTGAAATGTTCCAAAACACAACTTTGTGAGCTTTCACATGACATTACAACTGAAAAATTCTGCACCTGATTTCATGTTGACAGATAAACAGTTAAAATGCAGCCATACTAAAAATATTGTATAAGATGATCTTTAGACATTGCATACAGGTTATGTTTTTTTAAAAAAATTATTTTTGCCTGGCACGGTAGATCAATGGCTAAATCCTTGCCATCCATGTGTTAGGATCCCATATGGGTGCTGATTCATGTCCCAGTTGCTTCACTTTTCTTGCAGCACCCTGCTTGTGGCCTGGAAGGCAGCAGGAAATGGCTCTTGGCCTTAGGACCTTGCACGTAGGCGGGAGACCCAAAAGGCTCCTGGCATCAGATTGGCTCAGCTTTGGCCACTGCAGCCATCGGGGAATGAACCACCAGATGGAGGACCTTTCTGTCTGCCTCTCCTCTCTGCAAATCTGCCTTTCCAATTAAAATAAATACATCTTTTAAAAAAAAATACATGATTAGGGCCCTATGCAATAGCGTAGTGGTTAAAGTCCTCGCCTTGAACACGCCCGGGATCCCATATGGTCACCAGTTCTAGTCCCAGCAGCTCCACTTCCCATCCAGCTCCCTGCTTGTGGCCTGGGAAAGCAGTCGAGGATGGCCCAAAGCTTTGGGACCCTGCGCCCCCGTGGGAGACCCGGGGGAGCTCCTGGATCCTGGCTTCGGATCAGCATACCACCAGCCGCTGTGGTCACTTGGGGAGTGAATCATCAAACAGATCTTCCTCTCTGTGTCTCCTCCTCTCTGTATATCTGACTTTGTAATAAAAACAAATAAATCTTTAAAAAAATTACACCAGTCTCCTTAAAAAAAAAAAATATATATATATATATATATATGAATAAATCTGGTCACCAACTACATTTGCGAGAATAAATGAAGTGACCATAGAAAACACTCTAAGAATTTACCCTTAATTGCAACTGAAAAATAACTGGAATATATGACAGAATTTTTTCTTTCTTAAAGATTAAATTATATTCACTACTTCATAAAGAAAATATGGTTTTAATGGTACATTTGAGAAATCAAAATAAGAAATCCTACTAATATCATTCTGTCATTTTAAGCTATGATAATTAATCTTTACATGTAATAACATAATCCAAGTTAATTCACCAAAACATTAACTGATTACAAGATTACACTAGCTGCTGTGCGAGAAGGATATGCCATATTATAAGGAGTTAGGATTCTCCATAGCAATAGTGCTACTTGTAAATAGCAACCACTTTCATTAAAAATTTCAGCTTTCAAAGATTCCAAATGTGGAGCCAGCATTGTGGCTCAGCAGTTTAAGCCACCATCTGTGATGCCAGCATCCCACAGAGGTGTCAGTTGACATCCAGGCTGTTTCACTTTGAACCAGCTCCCTTCTGAAGCACTTAGCACAACAGGAGAACTTGGCTCAGTAACTGTGTCCCCTGCACCCATGTGAAAATCCCACAGGAAGCTCTGGGTTCCTGGCTTTGACTCTCTTCAAATAAATACAAAAATGTTTTTATTAATTTCTTGTCATTTTATTTGGAAGGGAGAGAGCTTCTACCTGCTCTTTCATTACTAAAGGCCTGCAATGGCTAGTGTAAAGCCCAGAGCCTGAAGCTGAATCAGGGTCTCTTATGTGGAAACCTGGAACCCACTCTATATCAACCATTACCTGATGCTTGCCACAAAGTGTACCAGCATGCAGATAGTCAGGAAATGGTGAAAGGCCCTTAAACCAGGCACTCCCACCTTGGGATGGCATCCCAAGGGGGAAGCTTGATTGCTGTGCTAAATACACTGCACCTGGCTTGCTGTGTTGATTTTGAAGACATTCATCTGCAGGAAGGTCAGCTCAATGGGATTTTAGACCTAACTCATAATCTTTCCCAGTAGAAATGACACCTACAAATATAGGTTAAATGAGTTTCCTATGGGATCCTAGCATTGCAGGCAGCAGCTTAATCCATTATGCTACAATGCTGGCCCCCAAGAGTTTAACAGGAGCAATAAGACATTTCAATTCTTTGCAAAATAAAGGTCAATTATATGAGGAAATGGTTGGGCTAGCTTTGAGAGTACCAACAAAACAAATCTTTTTCCTGCACACACTGGATAATCAGTGTGCAATTCACACATGAACAGATAAATTAACAGATAAATATGGCACAACAACAGATACCCTAATAACAGGAGTGGTTACGTTTTCATAAAATGAGGAACAGTCCAAAAGCCATGAACACGGCAGTGCTTCAAGGGTCAGACTCCACAACCCAGCTCGGTGTACGCTTTGAAGATAGAGACTTGCATTCCACATAGAGGATTTCAAAGTCAGCTTCATATTCACCCACACACCAAACTACAAGGTCATTCCGTCAATGGAAAAACAGTTCTTGAGCACAATTAATTAGTCCAAAAGCAAGTCAGACTATAGAAAAAGAGTCACAAAAGTTAATTAAAGAGATGGAGACCAGAACAAACTAACAAAAACCCAACTTACAAAACAGTCTTCAAGAACAAAATACAACTGAATGTAACAGCCTCTACTGGTGCCTCACATGCTTTGTGAATGCCAAAAAAAAAAAAAAAAAAAAAAAAGGGAGACCTTAACTTGGCAGTAAGGATTACTTACATTACTATTTTCTAGTCCCTAAGATTGAAAAATAATGTTAAAAAAAAAAAAAAAAGGCAGGTCCTATCTGTTAAAGTTAAGCTACTCACAGACCCTGTGCAAAAAACTGAAAACAATAAAGATACAATTTTAAGAAAGATGTCATGACTGGTGCAAACTCAATATTTGCAGAAAACCTCTTATGAGATAGGAGTATATCTCATTAAATCCCAAATACTAACATCTAATTCTACAATCAACCTTTGCTTTAGATTTCGCTTTCCATCACAAATCCATGCATATCAAATGAATTTTTTTATGTGATAAGCAAGTTGTTTGGGCCTTCGCACAAACACCTGAATTTGAACTCATCTTTCCCCAATTTTGAATTCATCTTTCAGGCAACCTAATAACTGACTAGCATCAACAAAAACCAACGGCAAAGTTAGCTAAACAGCTTGTATCTGATATCACATAATTGTGATATCTATTTGATATTACAGTTATATAGAAAACTCCAGCTAACTAGATTTATCTCACCCTCTAGTACACTCTGAGACAATAGCTTTTAAGAAGAAAAGTTAACTTTAGTATTTGTGGTTCTAAACGGCAATGAGGCTAAAAACAAAAAAAAAAGACAGTTCTAGGAAGAGATATCATAGCTGAGCTGGGCGATGGACGAGCAAAAGCCTGCTTCTTAACTTTATCCTCTTAAAGATTTGAAAGGCACAGAGCGATGGGGGAGGATGGACGGATATCAATGATCTTCATCTGTGAGTTCACTCCCAAATGGCCATGACAACTGGGAGTGGCCAAGGCAAAGTGACGGCATCACGATGTACTTCAGTTTTTCATGTCAAAGTGCTGGCCCATCACTACTACCATCTACAAGGTCCAAGTGATCTGGCCTATCTCTTCCGTTTTCTGACTGCTTGTTCCACCTGCTTCCAAATGTGGCCCTACCTCGTGGCATCTGCTTCTGCTGTTTTCTTAGTTTCCTCTAAATATCTGCCTGATGTGTAAAGACGGCTCCCTCAATTTTCTGTTATCTGTTCAAAGGTCATACTGCCAAAGTGTTTCATGACAACTGAATATGAAATAGCAACTATCCTTAGCTCCATTTAAATTTTTATTGCAATTATTGCTGTAAGCTATATATGTGTGTGTATGTATATATCTACTTACTTAGATATATACATAAATGTATACACATACATATCTGTTTCTAATTCCTTATTAATATATAAGCTGCACAAAAGTAGAGACTTCATCCATTTCATCCAATGCTGTATCTTATTCCTGGCACCAGAATCAGTGGTTGAAATGGTCATCAAATTACATATTGAATGAATAAAGGATGGGTATAAAGAAACAAACTATAGCTAAATGAAAAAGAGTTAAAGGGAAGGATGCATGTAGGATATATGCAATTATTTTATATCATTTTGTGTAAGGGACTTTAACGACAACTGATGACCAGAGTCCTGGAACCATTCTCCTTTGGAAACCCAGGGGCATCTTACATATTCAGCACCATCTTAGGCTCTGTGAGTAAACATGTTGGGAAGTAAATAGGCTAAATTCCTGCCTTCTGGTAGTTCACATATTGACAGGGAGAAAATGACAACAAAGCATTATTTCAGAAGGCTATCAGCAACAAGACAGCACAGAATGGGCCAGGATGGGGGCAACGACCAGCTTATTGATGAGTGGACATTTCAGCAAGGACACAAAGAGGGTGAAGGAGCAGTCAGTCATGTGTCTTTGTGGCGAAATCAGGTTTGAGGCAAAGGAACAGCAGTGCAAAGGCCCAACAATGAGGACACTCGGCACAACAAAGTAGCAGAAACTATAGTCTGAAGAAATCTGGGGTGGGCGAACGGCACAGAAACAAGCTAGAGACCAATGTAAACACTCAGGATTTTAATCAGAGAATTGTGAAAAACTAAAATTGACTTAGAATTTTACTTTTCCTTTGAAGAGTTAGCCATGAGCTATATTATTACTGCTAGAAAAACTATTAGCAGTACTTTTCAAAGGCAAATTGAAATAACTTTTTTGTACAGGTACTCTGCTTCATTTCACACATAATTTTGAATTATTCAAAAGAAATTAAGTATTACACTCAATGTCTATTCCAAAGCTGACACCTGATATTACCACTTTCCTTAGGCTCATCTGACTACCAACAAAGCCCTGGCAATCAAGTAACTAAAAAATCCTTGTTGTGAACAGTCAGTTTTAAAAAGAGATTAAGGCAACTTTGAGCACCTGGAAAGTTTCTTCCATGAAAAAAAAATCATCTTTCAAGTCCTTCCATACTGTAACCTCTTTAAGCAAACGTATTAGAAGTAAATTTGTAAAGAGACTAATAGAAGATTAGCTAAGTCCATTATTAGCCACATTTAATTTCATGACACAATTAAAATCATGTTATAAAAATCACTAAAGATTTTATGAATTTGTAATAGAAAAATTTTATTTGATTTTACTTAATGGGAATTAATACAAAATCTGTCTTAGCTCTCCTTTATGCACAATTTCAGAGTTATGTAAATTCTCCAATGTTATTATATGTGTATCTATGCAATCTCAGAACTCAAGCTCAAGTCAACTAAATCAACTACATGCATCGTTTCCCACTAGATATCGTGCCAATCATCTGACTGTGTAATGAAAACATTTCTAAGCTGACTGCCTGTTTTAGGACTGTAGGCAGTTTGAATCCTATAGTATGTAGTTATAAGAAGAGCTGCTCTCTAAGAGTTCCAGCATTGTTACAAGCTGTAAAAAGTAACACAGTTTCAAGTACAATTGCATTAAGAAGAGTTTCAAAGGTCCTCAAATAGAATTACACAAAAGCTATTTAAGATGAGAATCTTGCTGGCATTGCTTTCAAAACATAATTAGGCTATTTCTGACCGTTCCCACTGCCATACTTCCCCTGGGAGAGCTACCATCATGTCCCAGTGACTCCATGTTCAGTAAGACCTACTCCAGGTACTCTACGTGAAACTCTGCAGCACACAGATTTCCATTACCTGGGCATAACCCTGTACTTGGCTATAGCCCTTGTCATCATATAATAGATAATACAATTTGCCCCTATTTATTAGTTATGTTTTTCTCTATGGAATATAAACTTTGCAAGGGTAATTTCTGTTTTGTTCATTATTGTACTGTAAGCATACAGAATGATCAGAACAGTGTATGTGCATAGTATTTGTAGGATAAATGAATACATTTCAGCTTTTGAAATTTAGATTCAGAAGCAGGTCATGCCCCAAAAGTCAATTATGTTTGAGAAACATTTATGATTTATGACAAAAATATACATAATGTGTTCTTACTAGAAAGGTACCATACCAGATAAAATAAGCAGTTCAATGATTTCTGCATCTCCAAGATAGGCAGCAGCATGCAATGGGGTTCTCTTTTCACTGTCCTGTATTAAGGAGGGAAGGCAGAATGTAAGTTTTAAAATAGGGTTAATTTCACTATTTTGTAAATGAAGGAAAAAACATTGTTTAACTACAAAGATGACTTTCACAGCTATAATCTAATTTTCAAGTCTCAGTAATTAATACCCTCCTATAACTCGCAATCTTAAAAAACAAAAACAAAACCTACTTCTGGACTTAAAATAGTTACATAAAGTGAAGCGAAGAATAAAAACAAAGCTCTAACATGACAAAGAAATAGCTTCTTGAGTTTTACATGAATAAAGACTCATTCTGCTAAACCACACTGGTCAACTTTTTGCTTTTTAAGATTTATATATTTTAAAGGTAGATTTACAGAGCGAGAAATACAGAATAGCAAACAGTGTGTGAAAGAGAGAGTCTTCATTCACTAGTTCACTTGCAACTAAACAGAAACCACTCCACAAACATAACAGCCAGGGCCTGGAATCCCATCTGGGTTTCCCACATGGGTGGCAGGAGCCAGGATCACAAAGACAGCACAGTAACAGGGAAAGCAAGTCATTTGCATTTGAGATATCTGCAATTCTGTGAATTCTGTTCACGTGTTTTATGAGTCATACAATCATGATTTTTACTCTCTATAAACCAAAATGAAACAAAAAGGGGAGCTCACCAATTCTGAAAGAAAAATTTATCCACATTTTTCTTCACTATAGTTAAATGTTGGAAATTAGGTAACAAAATATTTCCTTCAGAAAAGTCTGTTAAAATGAAAAAGAACTATCCCATATACTTCAAAAACTTTTTAAAGATAGTACTAATACGTGAAAAATTACAATGTTTATTTACTGGATGATTATAGCAAAATGCTGGAAAGAATTTAAATGTCCACCAGTTACCTAAAATTATACATGACAGAAGTTTTTAAGCAACCTTTATTTAGCTGACATATTTAGTCAATATCCTTGATTTCCTGAGTATAATAATGACCATGGCACACCAAGCATTTTAACTAACAGTCTACACCACTAAACCCACACACCTTTGCTTTCATATGGGGTTATGTTTATCAAGAGTATCAACCATATGCACTAAGTGTATCTGTTATCATAATGCTATGGTTTAGTAAACATTGTTTAAGGAAAAATAAAGTTATTTCTATGATTACTAGGCTGACAACTACAGACTCAATAAAAATAAGCTATCGACCCAAAAAGTACTACCAAATTAACTGTGGCTGAAACAAATGACACACAGACATTAAAACACTGTTTCTAAGAGAGGGGCTTTTGGCATAGCCATTAACAGAGCCCCTTTCCTCCCCTATAGGTCCACAATGGAGCACAGGGGTTCAATTCCCAGTCTTGCACCCAACTCCAACTTCCCACCTATTCTAACTCAAAAAGGTAGTGGTGATAGCTCAAGTAGTCAGATTTCTGCCACTTAGTGAGACTTAGGATTGAATCCACCTTCGGCCCTGGCCCACGCATGGCTGCTGTGGGCATTTGGGGGAATGAACTCTCTCTAAAATAAAATACTTAAAAACCAAGAAAGGAGGGACAGACAGAAAAGAAAAACCATACTTTCAATTTAAAATATGGAGTATACCTCAATTAGTCTTTCACCAACAGAACTGCTGCTAATGCTCAGTATTAAATAAAGACTACAGGTTCAGATCCACTATGTATGAAAACTTTTAGTAAGTATCATAAAATATATCTGGAAAGATACTGGGAGATACTGTGATCACCTCTGATTGCTGAGTAGGGTTTGAAATGTGAGGACGTTATTTCCCACTACTTGTCAGTTTTTAAACTGTTTAGAATTCTATGTACTAAAAAAAATGCAAACAAACAAAAAAACTTATTCTGGGCCCAGCGGCTAAATCCTTGCCTTGAACACACCAGGATCCCATACAGGCACTGCTGGTTTGTGTCCTGGCAGCCCCACTTCCCATCCAGCTCCCTGCTTTTGACCTGGAAAAGCAGTAGAAGACAGCCCAAAGCCTTGGGACCCTGCAGCCATGTGGGAGACCGGGAAGCAGCTCCTGGCTTTGGATCAGCTCAGCTCTGGCCGTTGCAGCTACTTGGACAGTGAACCATCAGATGGAAGGTCTTCCTCTCTATGTCTCCTTCTCTCTGTAAATCTGACTTTGCAATAAAAATAGCTAAACTTAAAAAAAAAAAAAAGGAAAAAAGAAACAAAAGCTATTATGCAAACTGGTTCTACAAAAAAAAAAAAAGATTGCCATTCTCAACAAAAACAAAAAATTAGCAATTATAAAACAATTTGGCTCACAGCTCTTGTGTAAACAATTATGCTGAAAGACAAAAGCGGAAACACACTACATGTCTGTATTAAATGAGACCAGCCATTGCTAACTACTTTAGGAGGGTTTGGTAAAAGATGGTTCATTACCAAAGAGCTACATAAGGGAGTTCCTTTGTGGTCACAGCCTAAGCCTGCATCTTGAACAAACCAGTGGTTACACAGATCTACGTGTGTGCCAAAATGAAACACAAAGACATTAACAACATTACAATCTCTTGACAGCCTATGTCTCAAATGAGTGCTTACAAAACTGCTGAAATTTAAGCAAGGTCTATAGTCTAATTAGATAAATTGTATCATTGTAAGTTTCCTAGTTCGGAAACAAAAATGTTACATTTGGAGGAATCGCTTTGATGAAAACACAGTATCACTCTGTATCAGTTCTACAATTTCTGGTATGCTCATTTCTCCAAATAGGTTTAAACAAAGTATTCAGAAAAGCCCTGAATTGCATTTTCTTACATGTTATATATATCACAGTTAACTGTGGAAGTAGGTTTCAAAACCCTAGGAAAAGATAAACAAGCTAGTGAACCAGGCTGTGACAAAGGGAGTCTATGGTGTACTCCACGCATGGGAGGGGAAAAGATTAAGATGCAAAGCTAATCTAATCAGATCTTAGGACCAAGACTGCACTTGCACATTCTCAACATTTTCTGCAGAAGTTTTAACTTAAACACATTTCAAAACTCAAGTCTGAGTAAAAGACACACACACACATATACACACAGACAGGGAAGGGAGAAATTCAGAGAACAAAGTAAAAGACAATATTCCTGTAAGGTAACTATCTATTTACATGTATGTACAGCCTTTCAAGTAATGCCTAAATTCTGCAATTCTGTCCTTGCCTAGACCTTGAAGGTGTTCCGGTACATTAATTTCAACTCTCCCTGTGAAGAGCAACTGCAACAACCAATCTAAGTGCTTATTTTGTGATAGAGTTGCTTCATGCCTTCTAAGTATGTTAACATATTTCCTGCCTATTTTGTGGAAAAGGAAACTAAATCATGGAACAGTTTAAGGAACTTATTAAAGATCAAAAGAGCCTTACACCTAGGTAAGTGTTACACTACTAGAAGAAAAACAGCCAGTAGCTGGTGAATAGTTCATTCATTCGTTTATTCGTTCCTTCATTTGTTCATTCCTTCTTTCCTTTTTTCCTTCTGAAAGGTAAGTGTGGAGGGCAGGGAACTGTAGAGTGCCTGCACAAGGGGATCTGGGGACGGAGCAACTGAGAGCATATCTGACAGGGGAGGAATGTCTTCTGGGGTCTTCCATGGACTGGGCCACTGCACTCGCATGCAGGCAAGAGAGCTGAGACAGAGTGGTTTAAATGGAGGAAACCAAAGGGCATGTCTGGGTCAGGTCAAGGCACCTGCCCACATGGGAAACCTGGGCTGGGCTAAAGAGCATCTCTTGCTACCTACTGGTGCACAAAAGCCAGGCCTAGGGGGCATACCTGGCTGGAGTTTTGGGGTGGGGGTATCATGCTAGGCCTTTTGGGGTGTCATGCTAGGCCACAGCACCCACCAGTATGCCTCTTGCACTCTCTGAACTGGATCTAGCGGTGGATTCTGTGCAGGAATTGTAGGCTTGTCTCTGTGGGACTGTAGCACCCACTGTTTATGTGGAGTGCTGGAGACAGTGATGAACCAAGCCAGGCTGGCCCAAGGAACTCATCTGATAGGAACCTGGGCAGGGTCAGGCTGCAGCACCCACTGGAATATGCATGGGCCAGAACTAAGGGCAGATCATACCAGGCAGGGCCACTGCCCCCACTGCTACACATGAGATCCAGGGCCTGTAGCAGGCTTGGCAGGAGAATTTAGGGAACTCTCCTACTAGGCCACAACTCCTGTTGGGGAACAAAGACCTGGGGCTGGGACTATCCTGGTCAGGACTGGGGAAAGCTGGGCTGTGCTGCAACACCCATCAGCATGCATGTGCGATGGGCTAGGCTAGGCTGTGACACCCAATGGTCCATGTGAGAGCTGGAATGGATGTGGACCAGTTGGGCAAGGCTGCAGGACCCACCACTGAGTGCCAGAACTGGAAGATGGTCATCAGTCTGCATAGCAGCATGCCGACACATGCAAGTTCTGTTACTAGGAAAGAGCCCGACAGGGGAACTCCCCTGCCAGGCCACAGCATCAGCTGGCAAGTGCCAGGACTGGATGTCAGTCCTATCAGGCTAGACCGCAGTATCCCTTATTCTGTGTGAGATTGAGGGCTGGGAACTTTTCGGGCAGAGGAACTATGGACACTCCTCTGATAGGCAGTACCTGCTACTGGTGAGCATAAGAACTAGGACTGAGGTGGGCCAGGCTAGACAAAGTGGCAGCACCTATAAGCATTTATGAAGGCTGTGTCTGGCAGCATGTCAACCCAAGCTAGGCAGTACCCATAGATGCGCAAAAGAGCTGGATGGAATGTGGGCTGGGCTGGGCCACAGCAGAGGCTGACAAGTGCAAAATCCAGGGCTGGGGTAGGGCCTGGTGGGGATTATTGAGGGTCACCCCGACTAAACCACAGTTCCCGCTGATATGCATGAGGACCAGCTCTATGGTGGCTGGAACTGGGACAAAGCACCCCTCACTTTGTGTGCATCCAGCAGTGTATGAATTGGCTGATGCACATGACAGACTGCATCTGACAGCATTGGCTGAGGTCATTTCAGGTGAGATTT